TATAGACTGTAGGGCTGTATATCTGCAGGCAGGAGGAGAGCGCTCCCTGAGAAAGCCCAGGATGGTTGTTATAAGATCTGGAATTCCCCCAACTTGGGAATCCTGCATCACCGCCATAATGGCGTGTTCTTCACCAAAGGAAGAGGCCAAAGAGCACCAGGTTGAACGTAGGGTGTAATTTAATCATTTGTGTACTTACATTTGGGGCAGTATGATGGCTCCCTGACAAGATATTAATCATCCTCTGGGGCAGCAGCCAGACCTAACAGTAAATCCCTGAAAAGAACCCCAGAAATCCCTGTGGTAATTAACAGAAAATACACAAAAGCAGGAGAAGCTAGAGATTGCATCACTACTGATCGGTGGATATTTTTGGTGTTTTGCTTAGTAATGAGCTTTGGAGTTAAGCCTATGTTGTGCCCAAACATAAGTTTGTATATTTATCATGTTGCAGTCACGTGTACATCACAATATTCTTGTTTTGGCTTTCATAGGTCGAAATATCTTTCATAGGTCAAGTATCTTAAGTTATGACTCAGTGTCTAAGTTTTAACCATTAACAGGTCACCATATTTGGGCTTCCACCTTTCACAGAGTTTAAGTTTTTATGGCTTTTCATTTATTACCAGATTTTTTGGCTTTTCCCCAATAGGAGCCGTACAGTTGTAAACCCATGAAGAGGCTCTGGGGAACAGCAGTGACCCATGTATTCATGACAGGGATCATCTGGTATATCCTAACCACAAAGTTCCTCAAACTACTCATTTTCTATGACCTGCTCCTCCACTCCACATTAGCCACACACAAAGATGGCTATGATAAAATAAGTCTGATACTATATCACAAGATTTCATAAATGAAAATAGCATAGATCTGTTAGAACTAAGAGTAAAGTGATAAAAGAAAGATGTCACTGATCACCTCCTGAAACTCCAAAGGAAACATCCCAGGAATGTCACAGCCAAAAATCCAGAGCTCCTGTATACTACAAACTTCTGGAAAGCAGCATGCTGTTCAAAGACCAAAGAATTAGTCAAGACCACACAAAATCTGAAAGCTTCTACTAAAAACGAGAAAAGATCTTGGAATATAGTCTTCCAAAAAGCAAATGATACAGGCTTATTCTGGGTGGAAAAATTTTCATGGAGAAGGGTGGGTAGGACTTTTTTTAAGTCTGAGAAGAAAGGAAGGGAATTCTAGGAGAATGATGTGACCAAAGATAGGGAGTGAGAAAAGCACAAAGTAGGAGGACCATGTTCTTACGGCCAGGTCACCTTAGGCTTCCCACTTCCTTGCAGCCCCCCAGAGTCCCAGACAGCCTCAAGGACATAGGCAATACTTCTTGTGGTCATCAATATTTCTTTATTTTTTTTTAAGTTTTAAAAAATGTATTTTAAACTTAAATACAAAATAAGAAAAGGAAAACAAAATTGCCCTGCACACAGCAGAACATGACAGGATTCAATTTAAAGCCATAAATTTCCATTTCAAGAAAACCTATATAATAAATACTACACATTATTTTCAAACCTGCCCAGCTTTTCTTTGCTTCCTCGTTGGTTTTCTTTTGTTCTCTGCTGTGCACTTTTTACTTTATTTTTTCCCCTCCTTCCTTCCCTCCCCCCCCGAAGAATACAATTAAGTGTATACATACATACATATATAGATATCTATACACATACACATATACACTCATAAACATATATGTGAGACCATACTACATTTATTTCCACTTGTCATTCGTTTCTCTGAAGGTAGATAACATCTTCCTTTATATGTCCAAGTCTTTCCATGTTTTTCTAAATCAACAAACTCATCATTTCCTATACCACAACACTATTCCAACCCAGTTACATTCTATCTGAGAGATTGTCCATGAAAGTTTCCCCCCCTAATTTTCTGCATTCCTTCTATTCTTGGCTTCATAGGTTTTATTTATACAAGAAATTTTTAATTTAAAATAATCAAAATTATCCATTTTATGTTTCAACAATGCTTTCACCTTATAATATGGTTTAAGGTCTGATACTACTGAATCTGGTTCCTTCATGTGTTTTCCTCCTGGTTTCCTTGAAGTTCCTGACCCTCTGCTCTTCCAAATGAACCTTGTTACTATTTTTTTCTAACTCAGTAAGACAATTTTTTAGTAATTTAATTGGGATGGCATTACATAAATAGGTTAGGTGAAATTGTCATTTTTAAAATTATATTGGCTTTACATACCCATGAGTAATAATTACTTCAGTTATTTAGGTGTAACTTTATTTGTGTAAAGGGTATTTTGTATTTGTATTCCTATAGTTACTGTATCTTTTTTGGCAGGTATACTCTCAGGTTTTTTATACTGTCTAATTGTTTCAAATTAAATAGACTGCTAAAACAATACTGAATAATATGGCTGACTGCAGTTTTCCTATTTTTCTTCTGGCTAAATATATATTTTAGCTTTAACTTTGTCTGAGATCATGATTACTACTCCTGCTGACTTTTATTTTATATCTGTAGCTCTCATTTTCATAGCACTTCTGAAAGCAACATATTGTTGAATTCAAAGTTTTAATCTATCAGTTTCCATTTTATGGGTAAATTCATCCCATTCACATTCTAAGCTGTAATTACTTGCTGTATATTTTCTTTCCTATTGTTCCTTACTATCCTTCTCAACCTATTCCTATCCCTCCTCCCATTTACTTCTACCCACTAGCTTTCCTTCCTATTCCTTAACCTACATCCCCCTCCAAGAATCCCTCCCTTATCCCCTCCCCACCCACCCTATTCCCTTGCCCTTTTTAAAAATTTAGAACACTTTTATAGCCCCCCTCTGTTGTTCCCTCTTTAACCCATTCTCCTTAATGTACATACCCTTCTATCCCCCCCCCCATCCTGTTCCCTCACCCTCTTATTTCTTTAGAAATTTAGAGGAGTTATATACCCTTCTAAATGTATACGTTGTTCTCTCTTTAACCCAGATTTGATGTGAGTAGGGTTCCAGCACCTACCCGTGCTCCTCCCCTATCTGATTTCCCTGTATCAGTTCTTCCTCTCATGCCTCACAAAATTTATTTCCAGGTCTCTGTCGAAACCTAGCGCTTCTTGGGGGAATGAGTTAATTGTATTAACTGCATAACCAGATATCCCACGGTACTGAAGTACCCTAACCATGAATATAGTCCGAGACTGAATCATTGCAAAACCGAGGGTATTCCAAGCTACTTGATTTTTCAGGTACTAGAACTATGAAGCTCGGAGCCAGAAGATCTCCCAATTCAATACTCCCTTTCTCCCCAGTTTCAGAAAGGGGAAACTGAGGTCCTGAGAGAGGAAAGACTCATCCGAGGTGAAACAATAGAACTGAATCTACACCTCCTTTTATTTGCTAGTGTGGGAGGTAATTCATTGGGTTAATTATATTTACAACTGTTAGGGCCCTGAGAGAAACCGCCTTTCTTTTGCAAATAAGGAAACCGGACTCGAAGGGCCCTACTTGCTCCTGGAATGCCCCGATTTCCAGATCCAAGCACCCGCAGAGACCATCACCTCTTCTGGGGGGACCTCAGTTTCCTCGTGTTTGGGAGCAGAATCACAGATCTAAATTGGAAGGGGGTGCCTAATCCAGCCTGGCTCCGGCATTACTTCAGGTAATTTTCTCTTCACTACATGCCTGGCAAGGGCCCATCAGGTTTCTGCGTGAAGATCCCCAAGGCAGGGACTCTTAACTCTCCATTCTGCTTTGGGACGGCTCTAAGGGGTTTGTCCAGAAATTCAGCCCAAATGTGTCCACCCCCACATTGTTTCTACTTCTGCCGTCTGGGGTGATCCCTCCACCTTCTGATTGAAGCCCGGGTTGTCTTTATAGACAGTAATGTACATGTCTAGCATACTTTAAGGCCTTTTTAAAATTGTGAACTTGACAAACAACATCTTAGCGTCAAACATGACACGGTCGACTTTCACAAGGTTGGTTGTTGTTTTTTTAATGTGTATCAAAATTAACTAGTCAGTAACCAATCTGTCGCTATTCTGTATCCCTTTCTGAACTTCCTTTTTCGCTCTCTTCTGGGTATTTTCCCTCGTTACGTTCTTTTAGCCATTTGCTTCTGACCTCATCTCCCCATCCTATGAATTACAGATCTCCATCTCTTCTGGGCCTCAGTTTCCCCATCAGCATAAGGTGTGGATACTCCCCACGATCCCTTTTATCTCTGAAGTCTGAGAACTTTGAAGCTCCTTCCTTATTCTGAGGCTCAGTTTCCCCATAGTATAAGACACTGGTGTCTTAGGTTACTTTTCTCTCTAAATTCCTTTTCCCTCCTGGACCTCTGTTTCCCATCTGCACCAGTCGGGGTGAAACTAAATGATGGGAAGGAATTAAGCATTTATTAAGCCCCTGCTATGTGCCAAGCATTGAGTTCTAAGGTGCCTAGATATGCTCCGCTTCTCCGGCCTCAGTTTCCTCTCCAGAACAAGGAGCGGCAGGCCTGGGTGATTTCTGTGGTCTTTTTTAACGCTAAATCTCTTTTCCCCCCTCGCCCTCAGTTTCCCCACTAGCACAGGAGAGGCAGGGACCGTAGGGAGGTCCTTGCTCCCGCAGGGCAGCGTGGGCCGAGCAACAGAGCTAAGGTCGTTGAACAGCCACAACCGTCGACCCCTCCCCCGCCTCCTCCCCGGAGCACGCGGGTCTGGCCGGTTCCAGGGGAAGCCGGGTGGGAGGGGAGAGGGCGGGGGGGGGGCTCCAGGAGAGTTCAGCCAATCCAGGTGCCCCGCTCCTGGTCCGATCCTCTCCGCGCCTCGCCATTGGGCAGCGCCGGGGTCTCGGCCCACCGAACCCTGGGGAGGCCGAGCCAATCAGGAGGCGGATCGGAGCCCGTAGCGGCTCAGGGCTGTGTGTCTGCGGGCCTGGGCGGAGCGAGAAGAGGGCGCGAGCGGCGCATTTAGGGTTCGCTCCTCCCCCATCTGCTCGCCGCGCCGCCTCTGCCTCCGCCTCCGGGGATACTCCTGCAACCTTCGCTCAGCACATCCCCAGGAGCCTGCTGCCGGTTCGGGACGGGACGGGGGGAGAGCGTCCCCAGGGGCCCGCAGCGCGCGCCGAGGGAACGTCCCGCGGAGTCCGCAGCCTACGTCCACTCCCGCGGACGCGGAGAAAACGCCCCCGGGTGGCCGCAGTGCGCGCGGAGAGAACGTTCCCGGAGTCCCGCAGCGCTCAGGGGAAGGACGCCCCCGGATCCCTGCAGCCTGCGTGCGTCCCCTGCGCGCGCGGAGAGAACGACTCCGGGGTCTGTAGCGCGCGCTCCTGCGCGGGACGGGACCCCGGCGAGCCGCGTGCAGCGATGGAGCCAGCCGTGTCCCTGGCGGTGTGCGCACTGCTCTTCTTGCTCTGGATCCGGGTGAAGGGGCTGGAGTTCGTCATCATCCATCAGCGCTGGGTGTTCGTGTGCCTCTTCCTCCTGCCGCTGTCCTTCATCTTCGACATCTACTACTACCTGCGCGCCTGGGTGGTGTTCAGGCTGAACAGCGCGCCGCGGCAGCACCAGCAGCGGGTTCGGGACATTCAGAAGCAGGTGGGGGACGCTCCCGGCACAGGTGGGCGCGGGGCTGGGGGAGTGCGTGCCCCCTCCTCGTGTGCCTGTCCCCTCCTCCCTCCCTTTACCCCCCCACCTTATGTGTCCACACCCTCCCTCTGCTCGCGCTCCCGTTCGCACTCCCTTCGCTCTCCCATGTCGTACATCTTGCTTTGCCTGTATTCAACGCCGCCTCCTCTTTTTTATTTGTACACCCCGCCTGGTATAAGCCCTTCTCCTCTCCCTGTCCGTTTCCCCAAATGCAGGAATCCCCCCCTTCTTTCAGATGTGTGTTTGCACTTCCTAGTTCTCCCTCCTCCGCCTTAGGGTTAGGTGCTGAGGGTACTTCCACCATTCCCCCCCCCCCTTCCCTTTACTTTGGGAGATGGTGCAGAGGAACCAGATGTAGTGGGCCGTGCACCCCCTACCTGTTACACATTTGAGGCGGGAGAGTCCAGATGTCCGACGGGACTTGTGGCAGGCACCTCTCTCCTTGGCCTCTGGGGATCCTACTACAAGTTGCTTCAGGGCCAGGGGGCTCCCTAGTTCAGTTCCAAGTGATGTTGGGATGGGGGATGCCCTTTCTGAACCATATCAGGGGCTGGAAGCAGGGAGGCAGAAAGGTAACAAGGCTGACCTGTGGCTCAGCCGCTCGTTCACCATGTGACACCAGGTCAGTCACTGCCCTCTCCAGCCTCTCTCTCCACTCTTCTGAACAAGGTGGGGTTTGGGCATGCCGATCTTGCAGCTGTTTGGGATTCTAGGTCCTTGACCACAGAGAGCTTTGGCAGAGGGTGTTGTGGCTGGGGAGGAGGGAGAGATTGCTCTGAGATTTCTTTTCAAGGATGAAAGGGATGTTGACATATTTCTCCCTCCCTTGTGTATCCGGGCTTTCTCTAGGCTAGTGGAGGGGAGGCCAAGGAAGGACAGTGCCAGAGGGAAATGAGCCCCAGAGGGAAGGCTGCAGCAGGCCCCCAAGGACAGCTAAAGAAGCTCCGTTATCTGGCATCTCTAGTATATTTCTGGCCAGCATGGCTCACAGCTTCTGAGGAGAGAGCCCCACCGCCTGGGGTGTCCTTGGAGCCTGGACTCGGTGAAGGCCTTGGCCTTCTCCCTACAGGGTTGCCTGGTGCCATTCTCAGGGACTACAGAGTACTTCTCCCTCTCTGACCCTGCCTGCCCCATTCATTGGGCTGTAAAGGTTTGGGGAAGTTGTGATGGCATTTTACAAGTAAGGAAACTGAGGCCCAGGATGATGAAGTGACTCTCCTGACCAGGGCTGACCCTACTTGAGCACTGGGCTCCTGGCTCGTAACACACACCTTAGGCAGCTAAGACTCAGTTACAGAGAAGGGGCTAACTGGCGGTGGTGCAGGAGGTTCCCAATAGCAGTGACATCCCATTGACCCTTCTAATCGCTCTTTTTGTACAGGAAAGGCAGCAGAGCTTAGAGTCTGGAGAGCTGGTCTCAGAGCTAGGAAGAGAAGCAGCTGGTGCTGCCAAAGGCCATAGAGCCCTGGAGTCTGAAAGGTGAAATGTGGCCTCAGGCACTTCCTATCTGTGTGACCCTGGGCAGGTCACTTAATCTGTTTGCCTCCGTTTTCTCTACTGTAACATGGGGATGATAATAATAGCACTTACCTCCCAGGACTGGGTTGTTGTGAGGATGAAATGAGGTGCTGTTTGTCAAGCAAATTAACACAGTGCCTGGCACACCATAGACACTTAAAATGTTGGTTAAGAAATGCTTGTTGGCTGATCGATTGAGTGAATGTAGTATTTGGGCAGAGAAGGGACTTTGACCATCTCCCCAAATCCTGTCACTTAACTAACAAGTGGACTGGGAAGGAAGGGTTTAGCCAAGGACACCTGCTGAGTGTGCCCAGCGCTTCTTGTGCATGTGTGTCTGGCACCATTTTCTTATTCCACCCCACTCCCCCCCCCGCCCCTGCCATAGGCTTGGCGCCGTCGATGGGGCTGGGCTATGAAGAGCTCCCGGGCACCGGGCCCTGGAGCACAGGTTTTTGCCAAGCCATGCAGATGACCCAGCCATCAAGGGAGGTACCACCTGTCCACCTACTGAGGTTACCCTGCCTTGGGCCGCAGTGGCATCGACCACTCTACAGAGCATGGGGCTCTGTGTGTGTGGCTCTGCTGCCCTTTGGATGGTAAGGGTCACGTGCAGTTACAATGGACGAGGCACCAGCCTGTGCAGGAGGCTTGGATTCGTGTTCTGTTTCTGCCTTTGGTACAGTGCCTGGTGGGTGGTAGGCATTTGGTAAATGCTTGTGGGTGGATTGGCTGACTCTGGGCCCGGGCTGTGTGGCCTTACTTGCCTTCTCTGGGCCTAGTTTCCTTATTTGTAAATGAGCTTCCCTTCCCCAAACTTCATGAGGCTCCATTGAGATCCAGATGAGAGGGCTTTGGTGATGCAGCAGAATTCACCAGGCCTCCTGTGTGCCAGGCACCCCAACTGGGCACCAGGATGCAGAGACACCATCGAGGAGTCCCTGCCCCTGGGGCAGCTAGGTGTCACAGTGGCTAGAGGTCCGGCCTTGACATCAGGAGGACATGGGTTCAAATCCGGCCTCAGATACTTGATACTAGCTGTGTGACCCTGGGCAAGTCACTTAATCCTGATTGCCTCACCAAAAAGCAAAAAAAAAAAAAAGGCCCTGCCCCTCACAGGGAGCGTACATTCTCCTGAGCCCTCTGACGGCTTATGATGATGGTCACTGAAAGTCACGTCTGGAAGGGGCCTTCTGGTCCAACATCCTCCAGCAGGAGAGGAAACTGAGGTCCAGAGGTCATGCAGACAGTGAGTGGTGCAGGGTCAGGATTTGAACTCCAGTCCAGTGCCTGTTTCTAAGTTCAGGCCTCGTTCCATGTTTTTAATTTGGGGAAATGGGGAAAGAATAAAGCATTTACATAGGACATACTATGTGCCAAGCATTGTGCTAAGGACTCATTTGATCATCCCAACAGCCCTACTATTGGTGTTGATATTACCCCCATTTTACAGTTGAGAAAACTGAGGCAAACAGAGGTTAAGTGACTTGCCCAGGGTCACACAGCTAAGACGTTTCTGAGGCCACATTTGAACTCAGGTCCTCCTGACTCCAGGCCTGGCATTCTACCCACTGTGCCACCGGAGGCCTCTAAATTTGTATTAATTTGTATTTATTTATTTTTTTAACCCGACTTGTGACTGCATGTTTTCTGACGAGCAGATCATCTGCTCTGCACCTTAGGTGGCTGCCTAGGGCACTGAGAGGTGCTTTGCCCAGGTTATCACAGCCAGTGGGTGTCAGTGGTGGGATCTGAGCTCAGCTCTCATAGTTGGTGCTGTGACCACTGAACTCTATGTGCGTCATGGTGTGTGTGGGGGGGAGCTTGGCCGTTGCCTCTGGCCAGGCCTCCCTAGAGCCCCAAGGCCTCCTGCCCAGGAGGCTCTGGCCATATTTCCAGCCACAGCCGTTCATGGAAGCCCCTGCTTGGGGGGAGGGGGCAACTAGGATCTCCCTCCCTCAGTCAGAGGGGGTGCCCTCAGCAGCGACTGTCTGAAAGGAGCCATGGCTTTACTTTTACCTTGTATCTGACGGGTCGAACTCCTTCCTGTTTGCATCACTTGCTGCACTGGGGAGCCCAGCACCCCTGGGCTCAAGGGTGGGAGAGAGGTGTTAGGAGGAAAGAGAAACAGGGCCCAGGAGTTGGAGCCAGGTGTACAGGAGAAGAGGCGGATCCCTTTCCTGCTCCGTCCCTGTCCGTGGTGGGCTGTCCCAGGAGAAGTGAGCTCCCGGCTTAGTCAACCATAGCCCTCACGTCACTGACATGGAGACAGGGCACTCGCTTAGGGTCCCCCAGCTGCCATGGCAGGATTTGAACTCTGGACCTGTGACTCCAGCACTTCGGTTGCTTCTTTTCTCAGTACTATGGCAGCGAAGGAAGGGTGCCGGGGGGCCAAGGCCCACGGCCACCTGGCAAGTGATCAGCACCTGCAGGGGAAGAGCCACCTCCACCCCTACCCCCGGAGGCAGGTCAGGACCTGCCTGTGAACGAAGCTGGAAAGTGTAGGAGTGGAGATGGACTTTGGGAACCCCAAGACCTTGGCAGGAGCTGAGGAGGAGCCGAGCAGACGTGAATCAGGATCTACCAGAGATGGTAGCGATATCAGGATACAGTCAGACCCGAGGAGCTGGAGGTCACACAGCTTAGCGTCAGTGCTAGAGCATTTCAGGTCCGGCCGCGTACTTACTAAGCTCCTCCCTGTACCGTGCCCTGAGCTGGCTGCTGCGGGTATGGACATGCTGTTTTAAATTAACTCAGTCTTCGGGGCTGGGGTTTATTCTCTGTCTTTCTGCCTTGTCTCCTCTTCCACCAGGTCAGGGATTGTTGCATTCTTTGTGCTTGCGCACCAGGTCCTGGCACACAGTAGGCTCTTAATAATGGCTCCATCCATTGCCATGCTCTGGGCTAAGCACCGGGAATGCAGATAGACCCACGAAGCCAGGCCTGGCCTCAGGAAGGGCGATGATAATCTAGAGGGGGGGCGAGCTTGTGGTCTGCAGAGCCCCAGAGATGGGGAGGGTAGATTGACAGTCCCTTTCTAGCAGCAGTGGCAGTGCTGGTTTAATTGTGATTGCGGAAAGGGGCCCAGGGAATGCGGCGGAGCATCCTTGGAGCCAGCCTGAGCACCAGGTACCATAGAGTACCCGGCTGCCTCAGCCCTGCCCTCATCCAGGCTGGGGGGCCTGAACACTTCTCGGGCTGTCGGTAATAATACCCTAATGCTCTGTGACCTGATATGGGACGGAGGAGCATTGTGGTAGAGCCTAGAGAAGCTGCCAGGGAGAGGAGAGGCAAGAGACAGAGTGATTCCTATTTCTCTGTGTTTGGAGGCTTGATACTTTGATTATTACCATCACCCCTGGATTTTACCCCTATTCCTTCTTATCTGGGGAACTAGGAAAAGGCCACATCCCATCTCTGGGCCTCAGTTTCCTCCTTTGTAAAAAGAGGGGGTGAAAAACTAGATGATCTCTAAGATCTACTCCTTTCATGTTACAGATAAGGAAACTGAGGCTCAGAAAATTCAAGTGACTTGCTAAGAGCCAGGATTCAAACCCAGGTGTTTAGGTTTTTTTCTCTCTTAAATTCTGGGTTTCCTGGAGACTTTTAGACTTGATCTGAACCTGTAACAATGGGTGTGAACTGGGCTGGCAATCAAATAAAAGGAGAAGGCGAAGCTATAGTTCTGTTTCTGTCAGGCTGCTGCTGGGTAAGGAGGGTGGAAGAAGGCCGACCAGACTGGGGTGGAGGCGGAGTATTTCCATAGTGCTGGAGAACAATTGGCTAGACGAGGCAGCCCCACCCCCCTGGACCTTGGACTGCTTCCACTCTCAGCAGAGTGCCTGGGCCCACTCTGGAAACCTGGAAGCCCCTCAGACTCCAGGCCCTAAGCCCCTGCCCTTGCTTCTGCCCTCCCAGCTTTGTGCCACTCCCTGGATTCTGACATCTGCAGCCACTGAGGCCGCTCTTATAACTTCTCGTGCTATTGTTGAGCGCTCAAGTGTGACCTTCCCTCAAAATGAACCAGGGGGAGCTTTTCCCCTAACTTGCAGTCAGAAGATCCGGGTTCAAATCCTGTCTCTGGTGCTTATGGCTTGTGTGACCTTGGGTACCCCAGTTAAACTGGACCTGTTTTCCCCTCGGTCCCTTCCAACTTTGCCCTGCCCTCCACTCGCTTTCATAAGCTGTTCCTCCGCCTGGAGCACCCTCCTGCCTCATCTCAGTGCTCAGATGCCTTCCTGGTGCAGCCCAGGCACTGCCTGCCACTGAGGATGTCCTTGAGGGCAGCAGAGCTCTCTCCCTGTTGTAGGTGTAGATGTTGTATCTCCTCTGATTAGGATGTAATCTTGAGGTCCTTGCTCTTGGGGAGCTTACACCTTCGAGGGAAGGTGCTGGCAGCTGAGCTGACCAGGAAAGGCAGGAGAAGGAGCCTCTTCAAGAGTAAACTGAGGCCCAGAGAGGGAAGGGGACCTGTTCATCGGTCATAGCTGGGGAGAGAGGTGGAATTCAAGCCCAGGTCTCGTGGCCACCAGTCTGGGCTGCCTCTCTGCCCCCTGGGAGGTCCCCACACTGCTTTGTCAGGAAGCCTCCTGAGAGCATTGTTGGTTTCCAGAATGTTTTGTGAGTATCATATCATGTGTTCCTTAGAACAGCCTGAGACTTAGGGGCTTTTATTATTCCCATTTTGCAGATGAGCACACTCAGCCTTATTGAGTTCAAGTGAATTATCTAGGGTCACAAGCTAGTGTGCAAGGCAAGATCTTAACTCAGGTCTCTCTGACTCCCAGTTCAGTGCTCTGTCTACCAGCCACCTAGTTGCTGAATAGACAGTAATCAGTAAACATTTATTAATGGCCTGCTGGGCTCCAGGCACTGTAGTGTATCCCCAGGGTGGGGATACAAATAAGAAAAAGAAAGAGCCACTGCCCTCATGGGAGTTTACAGTAATGGGGAAGACGTCGTACAAAAGGAAGCTGAAGGAGAGGGTACCACCAGAAGGTGCTGGCTGGGGGCATGATGTTGGTAGAATCAAAACCAAGCAGCGTAGCTGGTGGGAAATGGAATGTTGAAGATCAAGGCCTGTTGTCTTGCCAGCGCTGAAGACTCCAGAATCTTAGCTCTTCCATTTACTAGCGGTGTGACTTTGAACTAGTCACTTCCTCTCATTTCAGTCTTAGTTTACTCTTGGGTAGAATGAGGGTGTCAGACTTGAGGGTGTCTAAGATCTCTCCCACCATCATGGCAGCCTCTGTTTTCCTCTCTGAGCCATGGTGGACACTTAATGTGAAACTGACATCTGAGATTGTTCCTTGTGTGAAACTGACATCGGAGAGTGTTCCTTGTGTGACACTGACATAGGAGAGTGTTCCTTCTGGGAAACTGACAGTGTAGGGCCTCCCCAAGCCTTGCCCTGCCTGCCTTGGGGGCTGAGGGGAGAGCCAGCCCGCACAACTGGAGCCACCTGAGAGCCACGTGAGTGGTTTGGCTTCTCTAAGCTCCAGGGAGCTACCCTGCAGATGAGTGACAAAAAAGGGCTGAGGTGACCAAAGGGGGAAAGTGGGGGGGGGGAAGGGCGTCCCTCTGGGACTCAATCAGTCCTGATTAAGTCCATTCCTAAGTGAGGTGTCCAGCTTATGAAGGGGCTGGAATGCCAGTTCTAGATTGTTTTGCCCATCAGGAATTGGAAAGGGCAGGTGATTTTGGGTTGAAACCTTGCTTCAGATCCTAGCTTTGCTTTGGGCAAGTCACTCCCCTCTCTGGACCCCATTTTTCCCATTTGTAAAATGAGTGGGTTGTATGATGATGACTGAGATCACTTCCAGCTCTAAACCAAACAGCCTGACCACAGGGTGGGACCTAGAGTGCACGGTGCCAGGAAGTGGCCTCCCTGTCCCATTAGCTAGCTGGAGAAGGTTCAGGGCCTCACATTTTGAGTGTGCCTGCCTTGTCCGATCTGTCAGAAATTCTGTGATAAGCACCTCTTACGGGACCAGTGCTAGAGGGAGGTTTAAAAAGTCTGAGACATGTGCAGCCCTTATGCAGCTTGGGAAATCCCAGGGAGTCCAGTTTCTGCAGAGGTCAGGAAAACAAAAGCCTTGAACAGTGAGAGCCGCATGAAAGTAGAATTGGCCGGCTTGGGCTGGCCTGTCACAGAGGAGATTGCTGTCCAGCTCCAGGATCCTGGGTCTTCAGGCAGAAAGTCCTATACTCAGAATTTAAACAATCAACTTCACTAGTGTGGAGAGGGCTGGGCAAAAGCTGGCTAGGCAGGGGGCCTACCTGCAGGTTCCAGGGGGCTGGAAGTTGTGCAGCACATAGAATGCCTGCTCTCCTCCAGGCCACCAGGTGTCCTGGACTGGGCAGTGATAGTCCTACAGCAGGTAGAGGAAGCACTGATTGTGATCCAGTCTGAGCCTCACTTCATTAGGATGAAGACTGGGCTTCTAGGCCTGACTTAGCCAGGTAGATGACCTTAGGGCAGGCCTCTTGGGCTTTTTTGGAGGGGGAGGGAGGAACCAGCTTTCAATTTCTTCCTTTCTTCCTTCCCTCAATGTGGGGAAGTCCCAATGGGAACACTCCCTCTACCAAGAGATTGGAAACTCCCCCTCTGGAGAGTTTCCAGTCTCCCAAGCTACTTGGTAAACAACCGAGGCTTCTTCTCTCTGGAGTCCAGTACAGACTGCAGCCTTACCACCCCCCCCCCCACAGCTGTTCCTCCAAACTGGCCTCTTTGCTCTTCCCAGGCCACATTGCATTTCCGCTTCCTTGCTTTTGTCTGGCACCAGCCACCCCCCCCCATTTTCTTTGCAGCACTGCCCGTCACCACCTTCCCTACGAGGCTTACCCCTAATGCCTCCCCGCCTCCAAATGCTCTGGTATTTATTCTCTGGGTGCTGTGTTCTTGGGTGTGGGCTCCCCAAGGAAGGTAAGCTCCTGGAGGTCAGGGCTGGTTTTTGTGTTCTGCCTGGATATCATCTCTACTGCTTAGGCCAGGGCCTGACCATTAGGGATGAAATAAAAGCTTTTGGACTGATTGCTTAGAAAGGTCATAAGGTTGTGACTTTAGAGCCTTGACCTAGGGGGAGCCCAGATTGGAATGACGTCCTGGATGTCCTGAAGAAGCCGGAACACTCAAGGCTTTGGCCCCTTGTGCTTTGCAGGTGCGGGAATGGAAGGAAGAAGGAAGCAAGACCTTCATGTGCACGGGCCGGCCAGGGTGGCTCACGGTGTCGCTGCGAGTGGGGAAGTACAAGAAAACTCACAAGAACATCATGATCAACCTGATGGACATCCTGGAAGTGGACACCAAGCGGCAGGTAAGTGAGCAGTGCCCTCGGCTGCTGGCTGGTGTTCCCGAGGAGGGCGGGGCGGCCCAGGAAAATGCTTCAGGGGTATGCTATTCTCTGGCCTCATCCTGGATTTAATACAGAATTAATGATCCCCCAGATCCTTTGTGCTGCAATTTACACCTGCCTCCACCTGCATTGTTTCTGGGCCCTGTCGAAGCTCTGGGAGCTGGGCGGGACTGTAATTATGAGCCTGGAGAAAGTAAGCGCCCGTCTCAGAGCATTAAGGCCTAGGGGAGACGTGAGCGGCCACAGTCCAGCCCTCCTGACAGGGGAGTAAACGGAGGCCTGGCAGGGGAGGCGCTCACTCACCCACAGTCAGATCCTTGCAGGCTTTCTGGAGACCCTTTGGGCAGATGGGCAGGTCTCCCCTGAGGCTGGGAGCTGGCTTGTTTGTAGGCAGATGGTAAAGGCATGTGTCGGGGAGGCAGCTGGGTCAAAAGCAGAGGATCCAGGGCTGGGCCTGGAGTTGGGAAGACCCGAGTTTAAATCTAGCCTCAGATAAGCACTACCTGTGTGACCCTAGACAAGTCACTTAACCTCTTTGCCTCAATTTCCTCAACTGTTAAATGGGGATGATAACAGTACCTCTCTCCATGTTTGTCGTGAGGATCAGATGAGGTGGTGCTTGTAGAGCGTGTAGCGCGGTGCAGTGTAAGTGCTCATTTCCTCTCCTTCGTCCCATCCGCAGTGTTTCTCTTTTTTCTTTTATCAAGATTGTCTTGGTGGAACCTTTGGTCACCATGGGGCAGGTGACGGCTCTGCTGAATTCTGTTGGCTGGACTCTGCCGGTTCTCCCTGAGCTGGATGACCTCACAGTAGGTGAGATGGTGCTGTCTGGGGTGGGGGGTGGGGGCCCTCGGGCCAGACCTGGACAAAGTGGCCCTGGGCCACGGGGCTGTCACCTGGGCAGGGGCCTTGTCCGGGAGCTCCTGAGATGGTGACTGAAGGAGGGTAGAGTCTGGATCTTCTGGCATCCCAGCCTGCCGCCAGGCAGGACCACAGCCGACCCTTCCCAGGTGAGCCAGAAGGGGTTGCAGAAGTTACCTGTCAGTATTGAAAGTGAGCTTGCTTCTGAGCTCCCTCCAGAGAGAGGCAAGCAGAGAGGAGCAGGCGCAGGCAGCGGCCCCTCAGGAAGCAGGGCAGGATGCTGGAGAGCGGGCTGCCCGCCTCTTCTGCTAACAGCCGGGGTGACCTCAGCCCCGGCACTTCGCTTCCCATGCCCGTTTCCCCCTCGGTGAAATAAGGGGGCTGGACTTTTGGACTTAGGGGGTGTAGCTCTCGAGCTGGAAGGGCTTGCCAAATTCAGCCTCCTTATTTTATATATGAGAAGACGGAGGCCCATTGGGAGGAGGTGATCTCTCCTGGGGTCTGGACCCAGGTCCTGGGGGCACCCCTCACGGTGCCCCCCTGCCTTCTCTAAGGAACATGGTGCCTAGGGGAGGGGCCCTCAGGCCTTGCTCGCCTCCCTAGCCCGAGGGGTTGAGATGAGGTGATCTCTAAAGTCCCTTCTGGCTCTGGGCCTTTGATCTGATGAGGGCACAGGGGAGGCATCAGTGATGAATATGTGGACCTGAGAGATGGGGGCCTAGCCTGTTGAGGATAGGTGGCTCCATGGCAGCTCAGAAGTGGGGAGGACAGACAGACTGAGGGACAGTCAGACGTGTGGTAGGAGACCCAGGAATGAGCCACCTGCCAGCAGATGAGTGAATGGAAGAGAGGAGGGGATGTTGCACGTGGCCCCAGACGCCCTACAAAAAGAGGCTGCAAAGCCAGACCCCTCTGCTGGGCAGTGGCAGCTGGGAGGGTGAGTGGGATCAGAAAGCCGCCGTCCGCACCGCTGGTGGAAGCGCTGTCGCAGACACGGTTGTGACGCAGAGCCAGAAGGCCCCGGGCTCTATTTAGCCTCTTAGCTTGCCTCTCTAAACCAGAGCTTCGAGTGCCGCCCACACAGTGGGGAAAGGGGGCTGGACCTGACGGCAGGGGAGCCAGTGACTCAGGCCCCTCACTCACCTCTTGCAGTTTCCTCATCTGTGAAAGGACAAGGCTGGCCTGGCTGCTTGAGGCCTTCCAGGCCCAGAGCCCTGCTTGCCGTGACACTGGGCTGTGTCTCTGGCTGTCACAGAGGCAGGGGAAGGGAAGGTTCCTGGAGGACTATCGGGGGAAGCCCATGATGGGCAGTGCTGGTCCACGTTCTCTCCATGGCAGTGGCATGGGGCCGTAGCAGCCGGGCACTGTGCCAGGGGCAGCCAGGTGTCTCGTTGGCTGAGGGCCTGGCGTTGATCGTAATCTAAACAGCGAGCTGAGACAGATGAACCAGAAGGGAGGGGAAGTGACTTCTGTGCCCCTGGAAGGCCCAGGGAGCTTGAGGCAGAAACTGGGAGGCTGAGACAGCAGGTCCCGAGCCCAGATGGCATCAGAGAGGGTGGGGGCAACCTAGGATCCTAGCGGCTCTGCATGTGCATGTGTGTGCAAGTACATGTGTGTTTGTGTGTGTGTCTGTGTGCAGAAAATCTCTATTTCAGAAAGAAGGTGCCCATCTGTGCATTAGCTCTGGGACCAAGGTACAAGCTCACAGCCTGCATCCTAGACTGAGCAGGGAGTGATGGGGGCGATGTGAAGCCAGAGCCTCCCTCTCCTTCCAGGGCTTTTCTCTCGGCTCAGATATAGGCAGATGGAGACAAAGTGAGGGGTGGCGGCGTCAGCAAATGCCGACGTTCTGCTCTTCCTGGGGCCCCTCTTCTGTTGTTTCACGAGTGGGCGTATGTCTAGGAGGCACAGTGGATAGACCTGGGTTCAAATGCTGCCTCAGACCATTTGGTGGTTGTAAGACTAGCCAAATTACTCTATTTCTGTAAGCCTCAGTTTCCTTATTTAGAGAATGGGGATGACGATAGCACCTTATTCTGGTTGTAAGGATTATGTAATGAGAGGAATATTCGTACAAAGAATGCTTGAACAAGCTAGGCGCTTATATGACACACGTGCCTACACACATATTTGTGTGTTAAGGAGGATGTTAGGATGTCAGCTCCTGGAGGGCTGGGACTGTATTTGCTTTTTCTTTGTGTCTCCAGTGTTTAACACATTGTTTAACATATCCCTGGCCTGTAGTAAGCTCTGAATAAATGCTTGTGGCTTTTTTCTTTTAATCATTATCCTTGTTATTATTTTAATTGCTCGTGGCAGTTTTCCACTTGAAACATGCTTCCCTTTCGACAACCCTGAGATAAGCCCATGTTGAAGATAAGGAAGCTGAGCCTGAGAGGGTGATGTGGTGGTTCCTGGCGTTTGCAGGTTTAGTTGGCTTAGACACTCCCCTGAGCCAGGTACTTAAGGGGTTCTTAGGCCTGTTTGACAAATGAAGAGACTGAGGGCATAGTGGAGGTGCCGATTACAAGTCTCGAATCTTTCCCTTTATACCCCAGACCAGGTGGCTTTTTACCATTTTTTGTGTGTCCTGGACCACTTCTCAGAATCATGTCTTAAAAGGCATGAAATAACATAAACTGGATTAGAAAGAAAACCAATTATAGGGAATTAGTTATGATCATGTTAAGAACCTCCACTCTGGAGGGATTAGACATGAGAGGATGATCCAGAGGTCTTAGGTGCCCTGGTTGTAGAGAAGAGGACTTGGAAGGGTTAGATATTGCAGCTGGGGCTTTGGGGCCAGGACTGCCAATTGTTTGATCTTTGGCAAGACTCCTAGTGTCCCTGGGCCTCAGTTTCTGCATGTGTAAAATGGGAGGAATGGACGAGATGACCTGTAAGATTTCGAGCTGAGAACTCAGTGGGATGGGCCTGCTGCCATCCCCCTCACCCCATAGCATCTGTAGTATTTGAGTTCGAAGGGATCTCAGAGGTCAGACCATCAGTGTAATCCACTCGTTAAGTAATCTGCCTGGTGAGATGTGGGTAGTAAGGGGTAGAACCAGGATCTGGGCACAAGTGCTCTGGCTTTAAAACATAAGCTCCCTGTGACCCCCTTTGGCAAAACCTCAGAGTGCCAGGCACGGCGTTCCCTGGGAGAGAAGGGCATGGGCCTGAGATGTGTCTCTCTCCATTTAGGAGGCCTGATCATGGGCACCGGCATTGAGTCCTCGTCCCACAGGTTTGGGCTGTTCCAGCACATCTGCACAGCCTACGAGCTGATCCTGTCTGACGGGAGCTTCGTGCGGTGTTCACCGGTAAGGGAAAGGAGAGGAAGGGATGGGAAGGGATGGGACTGGGGAGTAGAGAAGGGGGAGCGGACGGTGGAGTTCTTCCTGGGAGTAAGCGGCTCTGATGACCTTCATGCCAATTGCACACGTTTCGTGGTTGTTAATTCATTCCACAAACTCTGCTTGGCAGTGGAGAGGTGAAGACAGAAGACAGCGGGTCCTGCTCTCTAGGCATCTGAAACTTAACAGGGGAACGGTTTTCTCACAATCTCTGACAGTGCAGCTGTCCATTGCAAAGCAAACAGTATTTAATGAGAACCTGTTGTGAGCAAGGCATGCTGGAATACAAAGACAGTGAAAACCGCCTCTCCCCTCAGACCTGAGAGCGTAGAACCATTGAACCAGGGGGACCGAGGCGGCCTGGGATGTGAGCTAGCTCAGTCTCTTCATTGTCCAGCGGAGGAATCAGACCCAGAGGCAGGGGAGGGGGGACAGCCAAGGTCTTTCCTCCTTTTCCTCCTTCCCGCGCTGTTGACTCGCGCCACCAGCCGCCACTCAGTCAGTTCTGAATATGCACCTGCTGTGTGCCAGGCACTGTGGATACAGAAAGAGGTGGGAGACAGTCCCTGTCCATGAGGAGCTTATGGTCTAATGGGGGAGACAAGCTACGGGGGCAGGGTTGGCATTCTCAGTGTGTGTGTTTGCAGACGGAGAACTCGGACCTGTTCTATGCTGTGCCCTGGTCCTGTGGCACGCTCGGCTTCCTGGTGGCTGCGGAGATCCGGATCATCCCTGCCAAGAAGTACGTGAAGCTGCGGCTGGAGCCCGTGCGTGGCCTGAAGGAGATCTGCGCCAAGTTTGCTGAGGAGTCCCAGCGCAAGGAGAACCATTTTGTGGAAGGTCTGCTGTACTCCCTGGAGGAGGCAGTCATCATGACGGGAGTCATGACGGATGATGTAGAACCGAGCAAGGTAGAGGTAGGGGGGAGGGGGTCCGGCTCCTATTGGTGATAGGACAGGGCTGTAACGTGGTGGAATGAGCTGAATTGGAATCAGTGCCCCCGGGTTCCAATCAGGCCGCTGACACGTGCACCATGCATCTGACCTGTAATGGGTGACTTTGGGCAAGTCATTTCCATTCCTGAGCCTCAGTTTTCCCATATGTAAACAAGGGCATCACGCTAGGTGATTTTTAACGTGCCTTGCAGTTCTGATGTCCTAAGAGGGTTGCCTTTCCTGAGAACTACAGTTTCCCTCCTGCTCATGAAGCACTTTGCCAGCAGTAACGTTGAGGAGCTGCTAGTCCTGTTCTCGGCGAGGTCCCTGGGGCTCAGAGAGGGCTAGGCCCGAGGCCACCCAGCTAGCTAAGAGGTCTCACTGTGGGGCTTGAACCCCAGTGTCTCCCCCACAAGCCAAGTGCCTTTTCCCACTATGGCTAGAATCAGAGACTGAGAGCCAGAAAATTCCTTAAAGGTCCTTGAGCACAGCCCCTTCATTTTACAGATGAGGAAACTGAGGCCCGGAGAGGTCACTCAGGGTGGTTAGTGACAAAGGCAAGACTTGAACCTTTAGCCCCAAATGCATCGACCTTTCCCCTAAGCCCCATAGATGGTGCTGTCCTCCTTGGTGGGAGGCCGGTGCTGGGCACTCTGGCCCTAGAGGTGTGGGACTCACCGATCTCCTTTGCGGTTCCTTCCAGCTCTGAGTAACATGCTCTCTGTCTTTGTGAGGCCGGGGTCTGAGCAAGACCATAGGGCCTGTATATGCTGAGAGAGGAGCTCATGGATGTGTCGGTGGGAGGGCTCTCCTGGGCAGTGTGTGCTCATGATTCCCATTTTACAAATGAGGGAACTGAGGCCTGCCCAAGGTCACAAGGGGGTGAATCCAGGGTACTCTGCACTGCACCGGAGAACCAGGCCGGCTTTGGGGAAGTGATAGCAAAGAAACGCCAGGAAACAAACCTCATCATCCAGCAAAAGCCTGAGTTCTGGAGATAAGTGCCAGCTGTCAAACGGGGAGGTAACAGGGAAGGACTCAGGGTCCACGTTGAAGGAGAACTCTCAAGGCCGGGGTGACAGGGAAGGCTTCCAAGATGAGGAATGAGGGAGGGGTGAATTCCCGGCTGGCAAGCCCATGTTGGCCCAGGCACAGGTTTGGAGGCATCGTGTGCAAGGGGTGTTGGGGAGGAGACCAGTTTGGCTGCATTCTGGTCTAGCAGGATGAGCTGATGAAAGAGCTTGGTGAGCGAGGCAAACAGGAGAGAGGCTGTGAGGGTGGGGACCTGGGCCCTCCCCCCGCAGGGCACTGGCCAGTCATGGATCTTCTCTGGGTCTCACCATGAGCTGGAGTCATTGCTGCCTCTGCCATTCCCTGTTCCAAGGCCCCTCCTAGCTCTGCCATCCCTTGTTTGAAGGGTCTTCCTAGCTCTGACATCCCCTGTTCTAAGGCCCCTCCCAGCTCTGACCTTCCCTGTTCTTTGGCCCCTCCCACCCCTCACCTTCCCTGCTCTGATGCCCCTCCCAGCCCTAACATTCTCTGCTCTGAGATTTGTCCTGACTCTGCCAGCCCAGGCCCTGTGAGTCCTGCCCTCTGATTGCAGGTGGTTTCCCAGGGCAGGTGAGACATCTGTGTGGATGACTGTAAGGCATGAAAAATGTGTCAAGGCCATACAGACAGAAGGTTCTGGGAATCTGGGAAGGAGGGGGTTTTTGTGACGAGTTTCAGTTTGATTCTGGCTTTAAAGGCTGGGGGTGGGAGAGGGAGATGATAAGAGGGAGTGTTCCCGGGACAGGAGGCCAAAGGGTGCATGGGAGGGGCACAGCATTATTCACTTTCCATTCCATTTAAGCCCAGAGCGCACAGAGCAGAATGAATGGGGAAGGTGAATGAGCTGACGCTAGACTTTGAAGGGCCTTGAATGCCAGACAGAGAGTTGGAACTTGAGAAGCAGCCTGGCTGAGTGGAGGGCATGCTGGCCTGGCATCTGCTGAGCCCTGGGTGCGAATCCTGCTGTCTTTGCTAGTTCACAGGCCCATAGAGCTACTGCTGTAAGGCACTTTCAGGACCACCTAGGCCATCCCCATCTTTAAAGAGGAGCTGCATGACTGTGACAGGTTCATGACCTCAGTTTCCTCATCTGTCATATGGGAATAATAATGCCCCTAGCATTGATCTCAGTGCTGCTGTGAGGTTGCGTGCAGAGCACGTTGGGGGATCATGTCGTTGGCCGCTGTTGCTAGTGGGCAGCAGGGTTCTGGGCCGAGAAGTGGAGGGTGGAGAGGAGGTTAGAGGCTGCAGCAGTGATTCTGAACGGCCAACAAGAGGGCTTGTGCTGAGGTGGTGGCTACAGATATGCAGTATTTGTGAAGTACCTACTGTGTGCCAGGCACTTTATTGCATTTGAGAAGTGCTACGAGGGGCAGCTAGGTGGCGCAGTGGATAGAGCACCGGCCCTGAAGTCAGGAGGACCTGAGTTGAAATCCGGCCTCAGACCAAACACTTGACACTTACTAGCTGTGTGACCCTGGGCAAGACACTTAACCCCAACTGCCTAAAAAGAGAGAGAGAGAGAAGTGCTAGAAGAGATGTTGCCCTAATGGAATGGCAGGACCCAGTGGCCTGATGGAGGAGGGCAGTCTGAGGAAGGAGTCCAAGGACACTTGGGAAGCTGAGTGAATGGTGGTGACCACAGGCAGAGTAATGCCGGGAGGAGGGGCAGCAGGCTCAGGAGACGGGGCAGGGCTGGAGGTAGAGGCTGGGAAGTAGGAAGCATGCAGGCAGTGCTCAGAAGCCCAGGAGGGCAGAAGAGGGGAGAACTGAGGACAGAGCTGGAGCTTGGAGATGTTCCCCTGGCTTGTCCTCTCCCTTCCCCAGTCCTCCACTGCAGGAGAAAGTGGAAGGTGAAGGGCATTGCCTTGACCCAGTGCTGGTGCAGGGACAGAGTGTGTGTGGGGGGGAGGTGCTGATCTCCAGAAAGCCTTATAGACTCATGCTGGGTGAGAGCACGCAGGGCCCGGTAGAGCTTGCTAGCCCACATTTCTCTGATTTAGTGACAGGGTGAGGCCTTGGACCAAGGCCTGACTCGCAGCAGTCTCCAGGGCTGCCAGCGTGGCTCCCTCTCTTCCTCCACTGCCCCTAGCCATCCCTTCCTGGGGACAGAGGCGCAGCCTTCCCAGCCCTCTCTGACCTTGCTCCAGCAGCCCCAGCTCCAGCCAGTAACACAGACAAGCCCAGCATTCTCTGCCGCTGACTTGGCATCTGGTAGTGATTGCCGGGGACATGTTAACAAACAGCTCAGCACAGGGTGTTTGAATGCTAGTGAAGGCGGGGAGGGACGATACCCCAGGCTCAGGCCGGGCTTGCAGCTACGAGGAATCATCTGTGTTTTGTTTTACTTCTCTGTATTCAGGAAAGGGGGCAGGCTCGGCACCCCCCACTCCCTGGATGGAGCCTTAGAAGCTAGAACGTAAGGGCTGGGAGGGACTTAGAACAGGGAATGTCAGGGCCAAGAGGGACCTCAGCACAGGGAATATCAAGGCTGGGAGGGCCTTTAGAACAGGGAATGTCAGGGCTGGGAGGGCTTTAGATCAGAGGATGATTCAACATAAAAAGCTAGACTGTTGGATTTGGAAGGAACCTCAGAGGCCTCTCTTTAGCTCAAAACTCCTATTTTTACTAAGAGGAAACGGATCCAGAGGGTAAGACACTTGTCCAAGAGCCACAAGGCAAACAGCCTTGGCCTCCCCAGAGGCCCCTTCTTTTTCCGAGAGCCCCAGGCCCTTCCTAAGAGAGTCTCGGTGCATCTGAATAAATGAACATCCGGACAAGCTTGTTGCTTCAAAGAGGTGGCTCACTGCCAGCCCCAGTGGGCGCTGCCCAGCCGAGGGAGAGGGTGTCAGCACAATGCTGACCGGGCCAGGGAAGGGAAGGGGGGACCTGGCCAGCCTCGAGGGTCCGCCCCGAGGGACACCTCCCACCTACCCAGGCACGCTCCATAGCGATGATAGTGAGAGTTTGGGTCCAATAGGCAGTTTGTCATTTGGAAGGCAGGGGGTGTGAATTAGCAGGCTGTCCCGCAATCTAGTGGGAAAACGCACTTGGACACAGAATGCCCGAGTTGGGGCCTCAGTGTCTCCATCTTCCAGTTGAGGAGGTTGAACTGGATCAGTCTGTTCATGAGCATTTTTTTTTTACCATGAGCCATGCACTGTGCTAAGCTCTAGGGTCCCAGGGAAAGGTAAAAGCAGGCCCTGTCCTCAAGGAGCTTCCAGTCTAATGGAAAGACAACCTGCAAACAGCTGTGGACAGACAGGGAGGAAGGAGTAAGACAGGGTGGTCTTAGAGGAGAAGGGGAGCAGTGGAGGCAGATGGGGGAGAAAAAGCCTCCCCGCCCCAGAGAAGGCGGGGCTCAGAGAAGGGGCTGGGAAGCCTGTGAGTGGGGTGCGAGCTCTGCTGCAGCCTAGCTCTTCTGTCTGCCACTCTGAGTTATCTTCACTCTACGGGAACGCAGCAGCAGATCTCATAACAAGCAGGGAATGGTATTTATAGAAACCTTTCCTTTGTAACGGCGGCTAGGTGGCGCCATAGAGCACCAGGCTGGACACCAGGAAGACTGTCTGGCCTCAACGCTTCCTAGCTGTGTGGCCCTGGGCAGACCATGTTTGCCTCAGTTCTCTCGTCTGTGAAAGAAGCTGGAAAAGGAAATGGTAAAGCACCCCAGCATCGGGGCCGAGAGAAGCCCAAGTAGGGGCATGAAGAGTCACGCGTGACTGAAACGTCTGAACGGCAGAATTCCTGTGTGACAATGATAATAGTCATAATTTGTAATGACAGTCCTGTTAGCCGACGTGCAGCATTTTGAGGTCCGCACAGTTACTTGCGTGTGTGCTTTCAGAGCCTCGTTCCAATGTAAAGATGACTCCCAGCTTGTTGGGGTTCTCGGCTGGCTCTGCCTCGGGGTCCCTGCAACGAGGTCCGGCTCCGCTCAGGGCTGTGCCGCTTCCGCAGCTCACTTGTTGTGTTGCCTGGTGACTGAGCCCTCAGATTTCGGGGGTCCTGTGCTAGGTGTCGTGGGAGGCACAGAGAAAAGCCAGGTATAAAGTGCAGAGGGTCCTGGGAAGCCCCGGCCAGGCCCCAGGCTCTCCATGGACAGCACTTCACTGTTGGATGGAATCTTCCAGACTTTGCCCATCTTCCCCTTCCCAGTTCACATGGGCGGACGCACGCACGCACAGAGCTCTCGGTTTCCCATGGCCTGAGTGATCCCTGACACTGCTTCCTGGGACGCTTACTTTACTCCGCCTAGAATTACAGCCGAGGTTGTACCTGTCCCCCCTTCTCCCCCTCCTCATCCACACAATGTCCCAGATTCTTGACAGATACACACCCAGCGTTACTGGGAGGGGCAGTGCATAGTGTTGGTTTTGGGGGGGGGGTCAAGAAGCCCTGAGTTTGAATCCTGTCCCATACTGTTACTAGCTGTATGACCCTGGGAAAGTCCCTTAACCCCTTTGAGCCCGGTGCTTGTGATCGCAATGACCTCTCTCTGTTGTTGGGGGGAGCAAGGCCTTAAAGTTGGCCCAACACTTCATAAATGCACACAATTATCCCCAGGATTGGGAGGAAGGAAAGCCTCCTTCTGGCTGGGGGAATGCAGCCTGGCTGCCTGGAGTGGGCGGCTTCACAGAGTGCCTTCCATTTCTTCTAAGCTGGGTGATCCCTCCGTGAGCCTCCTCTCTCTCAGTTCAGAAACGGGGACCGCCCTCTTCTGCTTCCTGCTTCACGGGGCTCTGCTGAGGAGAGGCCGGAGTGTAGACAGGCGAGCCAAGCAGAGCCAGGAAAGTGTCGGGATCTGCCCTCCCTTGGTGTTCGTGTGGCCAGGCCCCTAGAACAGACAGCAGTCCGAGCCAAGGCCCTACTAAGTGCTCTGCCCCCTTGTGCGTGCTGTGTTTATTGGGCACGTCCAGCCATCCCCCCCTTCCCCTCGTTGCCCACAGGCTCCCTTTCTCCTCTGGCTCCGGGCACAAGAAGGAAGAGCCCCGACTTCCCCTCGGCCATCGTTTATGTTAGATTGATTTTGTATTTGCCATATAGGACGTTGGCTGCTTGAGGATCCAGCATGTGGCCAAGGTTCCTGGTGTGCATTTGGCCCGTAATGCTGGCCTCACTATTAAATTAAGTCGACGTGTTTGGGAAACGGACAAAGGACTGAGTCAGCCTGACATTTCTCCCTTTGAACCCCCTGGCAGTCCTGGCAAGTAGAACAGGGCCTGTGTAATTCAGCGCTGGGCTGCATTTCTCACTTATGTAATTACATTACTTACATAATTCAGGCCCGAGCATCCACCGAGTGCAGTCCTCTTGTGGAGGCCCTGGGAGATCATCCAGCCCAGCAGCCAGGGTCACCAGGCCCTTGCCATCTGGTCTGTTAGGAAGGACCCGGGGGATAGAAATGCTCTGACTCCTAATAGCAGGCAGGAGACAAGGAGTGCGGGAGATACATGGATCCTGCTGTTCTTCTGCTAGTCACAAATGATCAAAGAAATTAAGAGAGGTGAAAGAGAAGCCCAGGACACAGAATGTCAGAGCTAGGAGGGGCCTGAGAACAGGGAAGGTCAGAGCTGGGATGAGCCTTAGAAGACGGGATGTCAGAGCTGGGAGGGGCCTTAGAACAGGGGTATCAGGGTGGGGGGGTAGCTTAGAACAAGGAATGGCAGAGCTGGGAGGGGCCTTAGGAGAGGGGATGTTAGAGCTGGGAGGGGCCTTAGGACAGGGGATATCAGGGCTGGGGAGGGGGGCCTTAGGACAGGGATGTCAGAGCTGGGAGGGGCCTGAGAACAGGGAAGGTCAGAGCTGGGGAGGGGGGGGCCTTAGGAACAAGGAATGGCAGAGCTGGGATGAGCCTTAGAAGAGGGGATGTTAGAGCTGGGAGGGGCCTTAGGACAGGGGATATCAGGGCTGGGGAGGGGGGCCTTAGGACAGGGATGTCAGAGCTAGGAGAGGCCTGAGAACAGGGAAGGTCAGAGCTGGGGAGGGGGGGCCTTAGGAACAAGGAATGGCAGAGCTGGGATGAGCCTTAGAAGAGGGGATGTTAGAGCTGGGAGGGGCCTTAGGACAGGGGATATCAGGGCTGGGGAGGGGGGCCTTAGGACAGGGATGTCAGACCTAGGAGGGGCCTGAGAACAGGGAAGGTCAGAGCTGGGGAGGGGGGCCTTAGGAACAAGGAATGGCAGAGCTGGCCGGGATCCTGGAACACCTTGATAGAACACAGAATTCAAAGCTGATCTAATCTACCTTTTCCCTCATTTCATAGTTAGATCTGCAGACCCAGAGGCACTGAGTGACTTGGCCTAGGTCACACAGTATGGTGGAAAGGCCAGAGCCAGACCCCGCCTCCTGTCCTAGGCTCTCTCCGCTTTGAAAAGATACAAGGTCTGTTGGTCCCATTTTCAACCCGTCCTCTGAACTCCGTGGGTAACCTGGCCTCCTTCTGTCTGCCCCTCCCCACAGCTGAACAGGATTGGTAACTACTACAAGCCCTGGTTCTTCAAGCACGTGGAGGAGTACCTGAAGAAGGACCAGAAGGGGTTGGAGTACATCCCCTTGCGACACTATTACCACCGTCACACTCGCAGCATCTTCTGGGAGCTCCAGGTGAGGCTGCGACTGCGGGGCAGGTTTTGTCCCAACCTCACCTCCCCACCTTCATTAAAGAATGATTTTTTCCCTGCTTGTCAAGAGGTGGGATTCTAGAATTCATCCTTGTCTTGGGATTCTCTTCTTAGGCAGAGAGGGCCTTCCTCCTGAGCAGGTTAATTCAGTGAAAGCACTTTCCTTGGGAGCTTTATCTTTAGGGTATCCTAAAACTTTTAATTTTTAATAGCCTAAAGCTGCCCTAAGATTTTTGGGACACTCTGTATCTTTGCGGAAATGTAACCTTGTTCCCTGTGAGAGGTACCTTAACAGACTGGAATGGTGGAGTGAATTTATCAGGATCAGATTTAGTGAGGGTAAGAAAATGTAGTAAAGTCTAGCACCAAAGTTCAAAGAATCAGTTGCATAAAAGGTGCGGGATGGGGAGACAGGGAGAAGGGAAAAAAAACAGGGTTTTAGTGGACCGCTGACTCATGAATGTGACTGAGCAGCCCTCAAAACATGGTAGTCTAACTATTAGGATAGGCATTGTGTCCAGAGGGAGGCAGTAATCCTGGTGGTTTTTGCCCTAGCCAGATTGTATGTGGCACATTGCATCCACTAGAAGGCACCACGTTTTAGGAGAGATGTTGACGAGGGAAGGGACTATACCAAATATATCCAATCAGTTGGAGGAACTCTTTCAGTCATCCTCCGTTTTTGTAAAGGCCTACTGTGTGCCAGAAACTGTACAAGGCACTAGAAGAACACTTAGAAACTAGAGAGGTTTGGCCTGGTAGAGAGAAGGCTTATTGGGGTGTGGCCACACCTTCAGTTAGCCAAAGGGCTATCACATGGGAAATGGAGTGGGATTTTGTCAGTGCACCCCCTAGCAGAGAGCCAGAACCTGGGGCGTGAGTCAGAGAGCTTGATTCCCCATAGTATGATGAAGACGTTTTCGCAGTTGGGAAGTGGAATTTGGAGCTGATGGGAGGCAGCCCATTCCCTGTCCCTAGATGTCTTCGAGTAGCCTGAATCTCCTCTGCTGTGGGATGGCATCTCAGGAATGTCTTCACCCCGTGGGAGGGCAGGCTGGCTGATCCCTGCCAGCACTAAAGGTACCCCTGACCCCATCCATCTTCCTTGTTTCAGGACATCATCCCCTTCGGCAATAATCCCATCTTTCGCTACCTCTTTGGCTGGCTGGTGCCTCCCAAGATCTCCCTGCTGAAGCTGACTCAAGGGGAGACCCTGCGAAAACTGTATGAACAGCACCACGTGGTGCAGGACATGCTGGTCCCCATGAAGGTGATGGAGAGGGCCATCCAGACCTTCCACAATGACCTCCACGTAAGCCACCCTCCTTTCAACCCCATGGTAGGCCTGGTGCAAGGCATTTCCCCTGGGCTCCTGTGAGGGCACAGACCAGACAACCATCCACAACCGTTCCAAGCGCATTTCCCATTACGCTAGTGCACATAATTCCCACAGCATCCCAGTGAGGAGACAGGCCAGGGCAGGGACCTTACCTATCAGGAAACTGAGCTAGAGAGAGGACCAGGCAGTGGCTAGTGACCGAACCAGATGCTTATCCCTGGGTCTTCTGATGCCACATCGTGGACTCTGCTCACTGACACACTACTTAAATGATTCCTGCTTCTCTTCCGGCTCCAACATTCTGGGAATCCAGTGTCCCTGGAGCTATAACCGGAAAGGGCCTCCGAGGCCATCTTGGCCAAACTCCTTATTTACAATTGAGAAAACTGAGACCCAGAAAGGTTAACTTGCTTGCCGAAGATCGTAGGTCAGTCACAGCAACATGACTGAGCTCCTCCTGTGTGCCAGGCTCTGGATTTGTCACTGTGCAAAGGCAGACAGTGCCTGCTCTCAAGGGGCTCCTGTTCTAACGGGGAGACAACGTAGAAGCAACTCTGTAGGAACGAGGTAGATGCAGAATAAACTGGAGATGGATTCAAACGGAAGGGGGTCAAGGCAGGGGCCTTATAAATGGTGAGGTTTTAGCTCTGACTTGAAGAAAGCCAGGGAGCAGAGATGAGCAGGGAGGGCGTGGGGGACAGATGGAGAAGGCGCCCAGGGTCAGAGACAAACAGCAGGGAGGCCAGTGGGATGTAGGAAGGGGTCGGCTATGCAGGGCTTGGGAAACCAAGCCGAGGGTTTGATGCTTAATCCTGGAGGGCGGAGGAAGCCACCAGAGTTCTCTGAGGCAGGAAGGAGACCACAGGAATAGTCTGACAGCCTGGACGGAGGCAGCGAGACCAGCCATCGGCTGCTGCCAAAGTCTAGGTGTGACACTGGAACTGTATGAGGTAGAGGCGAGGAGGGCCTGCCTCACGGCGATGGTAGTGTAGGCGGAGAAGGGGCCGATGTGAGACCCGGCGGGCCTTGGCGGCTGATGGGATGTGAGGGGTAGAGAAAGGGAGGGGTCGAGGACCAGACCTAGGTTGGGAGTCTGGGGGTCTGGGAGGATGGTGTGTCTACAGGGACCCGGAAGGGTAGAGGGAGGAAGAGGAAGAGTTCACTTTTGGATATACTGAGTTCAGAATTCCAGTGGGTCCAAGAGGCAGTTGAAGATGCAAGATTGGAGCCCAGCAGAGGCTAATTGAGAATCTTCATTGTTGAATCCATGGTTATGTATGAGGTCACCAAATGAGATAGTATAGAGGGGGAAGAGAGACCAAGACAGCCTTGGGGGGCACCCACAGTTAGTGATCGTGATCTGGCTGAAGATCCCGCCAAGGAGACGGAGAAGGAGCCGATCTGAGAGGTGGACAAAGAGCCCTACCAGGGCAGTGTCTCAAAAACGTAGAGGAGAGTTTCAGGCTAAATAGACATCAGACGTGGCAGGGCCTGGGCTCCCTCTTCTTTCCCAATCCCCAGCCCTCAACTTCTTGGCTGGATGTGAGCGGGCAGCACCTGGCCTTGCCTACCATGACACCTTCCCTTCTTCTGTGTAGGTCTATCCCATCTGGCTGTGCCCATTCATCTTGCCCAGCCAACCAGGCATGGTTCACCCCAAGGGCGATGAGACAGAGCTCTACGTGGACATTGGGGCCTATGGAGAGCCACAGGTGAAGCACTTTGAAGCCAGGTCTTGTATGAGGCAGATGGAGAAGTTTGTCCGGAGTGTGCATGGGTGAGTCAGCTGGTGTCCTGTTTGGGGCGTGGCATGGGGATTCGGCCGGCAGAGCTGGGTGTGGGGGAGCCGGGAGACGGGGACAGAGAAGTCCAGTGGGGGTGGTTGGAAGATGGCAATGTGTGCCTCTGCTGCCTGCGGTCCTCTGCCTAGCTCGCCGGAGTGCTCGGCAAATGAGTACTCATGGGCTGCTGTCCTTTAGTGAAGGAGCCATACCCTGGGGTGGGGGAGGGCAGCACTAGCCCCTGAACAGATCACTCCTCTCTGGCTGAGGCTCTAGAGTCCCACCAGGTGGAAATGGAGGGCCAACTCTGAATTTCCTGGGTGGTGCAGTGGGTAGAGCATCAGACCTAGAGTCAGGAAGACCTGAGTGCAAATTCAGCTTCGAGTTGTGGGACCCTGGGCAAGTCACTTAACCCTGTTTGTCTCAGTCTCCTCGACTGTGGTATGGTTATGATAACAACTCCCTCCTCCCAGGGTTATAGGGAGGATCAAATGAGATAACATTTGTGAAGTACTTCACAGTGTCTGGCTCATAGTAGGGGCCGTATAAATGCTTGTACTTGTCCCCGCCCCCGTCTAGGTTCCAGATGCTGTATGCAGACTGCTACATGAACCGGGAGGAGTTCTGGGAGATGTTTGATGGCTCTTTGTACCACAAGCTCCGGAAGGAGCTGAACTGCCAGGACGCCTTCCCCGAAGTGTTTGACAAGATCTGTAAGGCCGCCCGGCACTGAGCCTCCCCCTCCCCAGCCCCAGCCTCAGCCACTCCGCCTTCTTTGAAATAGCCTTTCTCTTATAATGAAAAGGCTCCGCCTTTTCCTCTCAGTCCCCTGCCCTCAGACATGGAAAGTCCCCAAAGCCAGAGTTCCCTGGAAGCAGTTTGGATTGCTCCCTCAGGAGCCACCCCTGCCTGTGCCGGTGGCATTTCCAGGGCGAGGGAGGAGCTCCTTCGCTGTGCAGTCGGGGCTCCGCCGAAGTCAGTATTCCTCAGCTAGCTTCCTCCCGCCAGCTTTCCAAGCCCTCTCTCACCCAGGCAGCATCGAATGAATGACCCGCTAGTCTCCAGTCCAAACAGATCCCTCCACAGCCGCTGCAGCTGTGCCCGGCCCTGTTAGGGTGGAGCCAGCCATCAGTGCCTTGCACGCAGTGGGCACTTCTGAATCTCCCCGGGCTCTGGCTCTGGCTCAAGGGACTCGGGAGCCGTTTCCCTCAGGGCATGGGAGGCTCCAAAGGCAGCCTGGTGGCGAGTACTCCTCCCCAAAGCCTCCAGGGCCCCAGCCTCGCTTGTGGAGTCAAGAAGACAGCCTGGGGGCCTGAGCGACCACAACACCCCGCATTGGGCTTGGGTGAGATGCAGTGGTGCAACCCAGCATGAGATCGACTGACAGTATTATCTCCACCCTTAAGTTGTCCCTCCCTTTGTCCACCTCTCAAAAACGGCCGACCACGACGACGGTTCATTTCAGTGCCTTACAAAAATCCTGAGCCTGCAAGAGCTTGGAATGGTTCCTGCCTCCCCTTCCCTGAGGAGAGGACCCCTCCCCAAAGGTACCCGCCCCGTTGTTCTGATTGGTCACTTCGTCCTTACTTATGCAAATCTCATTTTGGGGGCTTCCTGGTATGAGTAGACTCCAGACTGGAGAAGGCTATATTGGACTGCGGGATCAGCTGGGGCCGTGCCAGCTGTGCCCAGGCCTCAGAGGACCCCCTTCAGTTGTCAGTTTCTCAGAATTTCCTCTTCCCTAGGGTTGCGAAGGCTGCAAGAATCACCTCATTGTGTTTTTGGGAGACCGGCTTGTCAGGATCCACTCACTTTTCCTTAGCTAAGTCATCACCGAAGGGGCTTGTGGTCAAGAAGCCCAGGAATGTTGGCCCCCTCTAGTGGTCGCAGCCAAAGGCTGTTGGCGCCCCGTCTGACTCGGCCAGCTCCGGCTGGTTTCGATGCATTCTGCCATGTGTCTTAACCATACGTGCTATGCATTGCTTAGGGCATTGTTGGCGCTCCGGTGGGACCTCTGAGGACCTCCGCCTCGCAGGCTGCTCGCTCCCTGCATGAACCCATGGTTCTACTTGGTGTAGAGGAGAGGTTCACTGCGGGAACTGAGCCCATCCTGGTGAGCCAGGCCTCGGCCCATGACCATCTGCAGCCTGCAGCAGTCCGGGAAGAGGCCTGCGGCCTGCCAGGTGCCACTGGGAATGGAGAGTCCATCTCAGGCGCGTTTGCCATCTTGGAACTCTGCCCAGGTGACCGGAAGCCTCCGAGAGCCCTCAGATTTTGAGAGTCCATGTGGCATCTAGAATTGGAAAGCTTTTTGTTTCAGAGTTTACCTCAGGATCCCTCTTTGATTCAGTGAGACTCCTCGGATGTCCTTGGACGAGTCACTTAGAGCATCTTCTGTAGCATGAGCAAGTCAGGCTTCTCCAGCACCAGTGTTCTACAATGGAGTTTTCTCCCAGCTCTGACATTCCTTGTTCTAAGGCCCCTCCCACCCCTGACATTCCCTGTTCTCAGGCCCCTCCCACCTCCCAGCTCTGACATTGCCTGTTTCAAGGCCCCTTCTGGTATTGACACATTCTATGCTGTGAGGCAGAGATATCAGAGCTTGAGGCCAATTATTGCAGAACTCCTGAGTGGAGCCCAAACCAGATTAAAATGTAATTGGAAAATATTTAACAAAAGTAATAAAAATACAACAAAGATAATGTTAATTTGTGGTTCTCTAAGTCAGTAGTGCAGCAAGAGGAATTTGACACTGCCCTAAGGGCCCTCCCAGCTCTGACATTTGGTGTTTGTTCAGTCTCTGGTATTTCATGCTCTGAATGCCCTTTGAGCTCACTCTCTGGTCTGACGTTTTGTGTTTCTAAGCTTCCTTTCAACAGTGACACATTCTATTCTGTGATACGTTATCCGGGAAGAAAACACACTGCAGCATATTCAGTCCACCATGAGCCATCCATGTTTGGGGAAGTTGCCTCCTGTGACTCTAGGTGGAGTCCAGATCTGGGGCAGGAAGTTTGCATGTCAAGAGTGAAGCCATGGCAGCCACAAGAACAGTCTGGGCACTCCACTGCCTCTTGTGACTTGTGGCAAAAAAGGAGGAGCTGAATTGGGGGGGTGCGGGGAATGGGTACTGCTTGGACTGTGGAGGAGGCAGGGGAGCTTGGGGGAGATGCCCGGAGCCTAGAAGCCTTGACTGTTCTTCCCATCCCCCAATGTGTTTGTGTGGCCGTTGTCAAAATAAAGTAACCCAGGAACCATCTGGTGTCGCCTCCCACCTTTTCTGTCCTGGGGAGCAGGTCAGACGATGGGTGGAAGGGAGGGTTTTCACGTCTCTTCAGGTCCCATCCCTGGTGCTGCTCTGGAAGTCCGACTTGTCTCCTGACCAAGGCAGGTCAGCTCCCGGGGTCTCCTCTCCCGGTACTAATGGGACATTGAGTCCTCTTCCTAGGGGACACAGACATGAAAAACGTGGCTTCTTGGAGCAGAGGTCACATTCCTTTAAGGGAGCCATGCAGACTTATAGCCCATGGGGGGGAAAATGTCTCAGTGTGATGCCTGAGGGGCTCTGGATTTGCTGATCTTTCTGCAAGCATCTTGCCCATGGAACGCTTCTCGAGTTCAGTAGGTACATACCCTGCTGAAGCTGGGCAGCCCCTGGCTCAGATCCCCACTGCTGGGGCACACTCTTTGTCTCAAATTAGGGAAGGATGGCTCCTGGCATCACCTGTCCCAGCTGCTTCCCTTTCCTAATTCTGTCTGGGCCTTACCTCTCCATCTCCAGGCTTTGACAGTCAACTCGGTGGGCTTCTTCAGACAAAGAGCACTTGATGAAAACTGTGCTGGCTGGTTAAACAGCTGTCAAAGGTCTTCACAAATACTTGGGGATGCAGTCACTGAAAATGGGCCAGTGAGCCCAACCTCACAGCATGAGGCAAGACGAAGCAGCGTTCCAGACCTAGACCTGGCTCTGTGACAGAACAGCATTCCAGATCCAGACCCGGCGCTGTGACTGACAGAGTGGTGTTCTAGACCCAGACCTGGCTGTGACAGAGCAGCATTCCAGACCCAGACCCGGCGCCGTGACTGACAGAACAGCGTTCCAGACCCAGACCGGGTGCTGTGACTGACAGCAGTGTTCCAGACCCAGACCCGGTGCTGTGACTGACAGCAGTGTTCCAGACCCAGACCCGGTGCTGTGACTGACAGCAGCGTTCCAGACCATCTTCCTGCCAGACTTCTGAAGTCTACCTTTCCCCACCTTTGTCCAGGTCCTCTGGCTTCTGCCTTGGGGCTGTGCTCAGTCTGCCCTCTTTCCCTCCCTCTCTGCTCTGGGAACAGCCGTGGAGCCACCACTGCCTTGTTTTGGGAAAGAGTGAGTCAGGCAATCATCCTGCGGGTCCATTCACTGTGCCCATGATTTCCCAGATGGAAACCTGCCACCCTGGCCATCCTCCCTTCTATATAAGCTCCCTGAAGACTACTGGCATTTTTGTGTTTATATTCCCAGGACTTAAGACACTTATGCCTATGTCTTTATCCCAACTAGCACTCCCACAGAAGAATCAGGTCCCACCAAAATGCATCTACATTGCCTTTTGGGGTCCCAGGGATACTTCCTGAAGGGTCAAGCCCCCAACCTGGTGTGTTCTTTCCAGTATCAATTGTTCTCAGTTTTTCAGTTGTGTCCAACTCTTAGTGACCCTGTTTTGGGGTTTTCTTGGCAAAGATACAGGAGTGGTTTGCCATTTTCTTCTCCAGCTCATTTTACAGATAAGGAAACTGAGGCAAGCAGGGTTAAAGTGACTTCACACAGCTAGTAAGTGTCAGAGGTCGGATTTGAACTCATGAGAATGAGTCTTCCAGACTCCAGGCTGAGGTCCACTCTGTGCACTATGGTGCCACCTAGCTGCCCCATGGAACATAAATTTCTGCAATTCTGAAGAACCTATCCTTTTTACCATAATCTTTCCAGGATCACTGACAGTGGTTCAGCGTCACATCTGCTAAGTTAGCCAGAAATTCTAACATCCACATCATCCCCTAAACATTCCTGTTAATTGCAATTTAGTCAAAAACACAGCGCCAGATTTGCAAGAGACCAGGGAACTTGCTTTGTCCAACCCCTTCATTTTGCAGATGAGGAAACTGAGGCCATTGGGGAGTAAAAAAGAGAGCCAACCTGCTGGGCTCAGCTTTACAGGGCAGAGCCAAGATGAATGAGCAGAAGCAGCTATAAGGAAATAGACCTTGGCTCCAAGTAGGGGGAGAGAGGGTCATTGACATCCTGATGACTGAAGAGTTCCTCTTCACCGCATGTCTCTGTGCTAGTCCTTTGCTGGGACCCCAAGGGGACTTTGAAGAAGAATTAGATCAGTCCTGAATACAAAGCTCTAAGCTAAGCATTCTTAGCCTGGGGTCCATGGACCTCTAAGGACTCTGCAGAGAGATTTCAGGGGCATCCAGAACATTGATGGAGAAAAGAGTTACATTTTCACCAACTTTTGATTCCCTTTGTACTCCTATGTATTTTATGTATTTAGAAATCTGGTTCTAAGAAGGGTTTTCTAGGCTTCTCCTAACTGGCAACAGGGTCCAGGACAAAAAAGATGAAGACGCTTGTAGGAAGACAAGAATAAAATCAGAATCCTGGGGTGGGGGGGAGGGAGGCAAGATCCACTGGGTTTGGGATTTGGGCATCATCCAATCTGCTAGGGTCTTTTCTGCTAAATGAATGACTTTGTATTCATTTTTGCACGTATCTTTTATATATTAATGTAGGCAGTAAGCTCACTGAGGACTGGGGTTGTTTCACTTTTAGTATTGTATAGCTAGGGTTTGTTGATTGACTGATGGGTACATTTCTTGATTATGGCATATTTTTGGCTTTTTCAATGGTATCTTCAGGGATCTTCAAAGCACACCAGAGGATGAGGAGTCAAGATTTTAGAGTCTGCAAATCAGTCAGCATTCTCTAAGTATTTTAGAATTTCAGAGGACTTTGCATTTTCAAAATCTTTTAATTTTTCAAAATACTTTGGAGTTTCCAGAGCACTTTGAATTTTTGAATTTTAGACTTCATAAAACATTTATATTTTCAAAAGACTGTGGAATTTCTAGAGCACTTTGGATTTTTCTTTTTTCTTTTTAGGCAGTTGGGGTTAAGTGACTTGCCCAAGGGTCACCCAGCTAATAAGTGTGTCAAGTGTTATGGTCTGAGGCTGGATTTGAACTCAGGACCTCCTGACTTCAAGGCCAGTGCTCTATCCACTGTGCCACCTAGCTGCCCCTGGCACTTTGGATTTTTCAAAGTTCTTTATTTGTTTAATGTATTTTAAGAGTAATTTAGAGCTTATAGAGCCTTTTACATCTTCAAAGTAATTCAGAGTTTATAGAGAACTGGATTTTCCAAATATTTGAGAATTTACAGAGTACTTTACATTTTCCGATCACTAAACTTTACAGAGAACTTGGTAAGTTCAACACAATTTACTTTTTTCCAAGCTCTTAAGAGTTTACCAAACACTTTGTATGTCCAAACTGTTTTGTGTTTAGGAGAACTTGGGTTCCTCAAAGCACTGGAGTGTTTACATAACCCTTTGCATTTTCAGTGTACTTTTGAGTTTAGAAGACATTTTTCAAAGTACTTTGGAGTTTACATAACATTAAGCAGTTGAATGGAAGCAAAGTGCAGATAGTACTGGGACTAGAGTCAGGAGAACCTGAGTTCAAATCCATCCTCAGACACTTACTAGCTGTGTGATGCTGAGTGACATCACTTTAACCATGTTTGCCTCAGTTTTCTTATGTGTAAAATGAGCCAGAGAAGGAAATGGCAAACCACTCCAGTATCTCTGCCAAGAAAACCCCAAATGGGATCATGGACAGTCAGACACGACTGAAATGATTCAATAGTGGCAACCACAAAGCATCCTCAAAGTACCCTAAAGATTATACAGTGCTATTTATTGAGCTTTGAAGCACTGCAGTGGGTACAACATCAGCATCTTAAATTTCCAGAGCACTTTTCTTTATGCAAAGTTCTGGCTGTATCCCATAATGGCAAATTGGGAGCCTCTCATTTTACAAATGAGAAAACTCACTTGAAGAGGAGGTGTGAAGTCCCAGGGCACACAGGTAGTAAATGGAAGAGCAGAGATTCTAGCTCCAAGCTGGGCCCCGCGAATTTTCCTAAGGTCCCAGAGCTAGCTAAGTGGTCAAGCACAGCTTGGGACCCTAGCCTCTTAACTGCCTCCCGAGCGTGTGGGCATCACCTAGAACTCAAGATCACTAGATTCGGAATTAGAAGACCTGAGTTCAAATCCAGGCTCTTCTACTTACACCTTCTCTGTTACTTTAAGTCTCTCCCCTTCCCTGAGCCCCAGCTCCTTCGCCTACAAAATGCAGTAGTTGGATTAGGCTAGCTCCAAATTCCCATCCAACCCTCAATCTGGAATCTAACACCTGAGATTGGTTTGGAAGGACACTTAGTATTGTTCAGCCTATTACATATGTGTGATCCCTATAACATCCTCAAGCCTGGGGGGAGGTAGGGGGAGAGACAGACAGAGAAATATATATAGAGAGAATGTATGTATATGCACACAGAGAGAGAACATATGTGTATGTATATATAGAGAGAACATTTATATGTATATATATATAGAAAGAGAGAATGTATATGTATGTATATAGAGAACATTATATATATATATGTGTATATATATATATATATATATACACACACACACACACATACATACACTACACTGGAGACAGGAAGAGCTGAGTTCAAATCTAGCTTCAGACACTTAGTAGCTGTGTGACCCTGGGAAAGTCATTTAACTTCTAGCTAGGTGTATTTAGCATGAAGCAGAGGCAGCCCTGGGGGGAAAACAACTATCTTCCAGTACTTGACAGACCGTGACACAGGTCTGTCGTGACACAGAAAAGGGATGGGACTTGTGTTTGGGGACAATAATGCTCAATAAAAGCATCCTGGTAGAGCCAAGATGGCAGATCAGAGGCAGTAACCCAGTCAAACTCTCCCAACATTCCCCTCCAAACAACTTTAAAATAATGTCTAAAATCAAATTTTGGAGTGGCAGAGTCAACAAAAGGTTGGAGTGAGACGTTTTTCCAGCCTAAGACAGCTGGGAGGATCAACAAGACAGATCTGTGGCCCTTGGATGGGGGCTGGCTCGGAGTAGATGGCGGCTGCTGTGACAGCAGGAGCTCTTAGCACAGAAATGTTAAAGGGGAGGGCTGTCAGAAACTGGGGACCTTTGGGATATGGCTGGTACTGATTGTCAACTCTGTTGACCATACATGGTTCTGGATCACAGGTCCAGGCCAGAGAGGAGTGCATGTGGTCTGTTACAAGGGAGCAGAGGTCTCAGTCACAGTTCCATCACAGAAAGGAACTCGTGGCCGCAGGAGAAAAGGGTCTCTTCCTGGGTAAAGAGCAGAACTAGACCAGGGGGATGCAGCTGGGTGGCGCAGTGGATAGGGCACCGGCCCTGAAGTCAGGAGGACCTGAGTTCAAATCCGGCCTCAGACCAAACACTTGACACTTGCTAGCTGTGTGACCCTGGGCAAGTCATTTAACCCCAATTGCCTTAAAAAAAAAAAGAACTAGACCAGGGGAGCAGTGACCACACCTCTCTCTGAATCACACCACCTTGGAAGCACTGAAAACTTGCAGACTCCCCCAGAAGTGGCTCTGAAAACAGTACAAAAAAGCCTGAAGCTTGGGACAATGCCTCCCCACCCCAAGGTGACCAGAACCCAACTTTAATATAAAATTCAAAGTCAAGAAATAGGCTGGAAAAATGAGCAAACAACCACCACCACCACCACTGCAACAAAAGAACTTGATCATAAAAGGCTACTATGGTGGCAGGGAAGATCAAGACACAAATAACAATAATATGAAAACCCTATAGCCAAAGGCTCAAAGAAAAATGCTAGTTGGGCCTAAATCCAACATGAATTCCTAGAAGAGTGAAGAAAGAGATAAGAATACTAGGGGGAAAATTGGGGAAAGAAATGAGAGTGATGCTTGGAAATTATGAAAAGAGAGTTAAAAGCCTGGTAAAAGAGGCACAAAAAATACTGAAGAATACAACACCTTTAAAAACAGAATTAGCCTAATATAAAAAGAGGCACAAAAATTCACAGAAGAAAAGAACTTAAAAAGAATAGACCAAATGGAAAAGGAGGTACATATATTCACTGAACAAAATAATTCCTTAAAAAGTGGAAGCTAATGAATCTATGAGACATCAAGAAACAATAAAACAAAACCAAAAGAATGGAAAAATAGAAGAAAATGTGACATTGGAAAAACAACTGACCTGGAAAATAGATCAATGAGAGATAATTTAACAGGCATGATTAAAAAAAAAGAGTCTAGACATCATACTTCAAGAAACTATATAAAGAAAAAATGTCCCAACATCTTAGATCCAGATAGTAAAATAGAAAGAATCTACTGATCATCTCCTGAATGAGATCCCAAAATGAAAACTCCCAAGAATACTGTAGCCAAATTCCAGAGCTTCCAGATCAAGAAAATATTGCAAGCAGCCAAAAAGAAACAATTCAAATATCATGGAACCACAGTCAGGACCACATAAGCTTTAATAGCTTCCACATTAAAGGAATGGAGGTCTTAGAAGACAAAGGAGCTAGAACTGATTATAACTAAGAATCATCTACCCAGCAAAACTGAATTTAATCCTTACCCAGTTGATAAATTGACAAGAGACATGAACAGTCAGGGTTCAGAAGAAATCAAAGCTATCTATAGTCTATATGAATATATACCTATATGAAAAAAAAGGCTCTAAATCACAATTGATGAGAGAAATGCAAATTAAAACAACTCTGAGGTACCATCTCATGCTTATTAGAAATGACAAATTCTATATTAGATTGTGTGCCATCTTGGTGAGGGAGGGGGGAGGGAGGGGGAGAAGAATTTTAAACTCAAAAGCTTATGGAAGCGATTGTTGATAAATCAAAATAAACTAATTTTAAAAAATGACAAATGCTGGAGAAGATGAGGGTAAAATAGGGACACTAACAAACTACTATTTGAGTAGTGATCTCATTCAGCCATTCTGGAGAACAATTTGGAACTCTGTCCAAAGAGCTCTAAAACTGTGCATAATACCCTTTGACCCCAGCAATACCTCTACTAGGTCTGTACTCCAAAGAGATCAAAGGAAAAGGAAAAGGACCTATATGTACAAAAATATTTATAGCAGCTCTTTTTTGTGGAGCAAATAATTTTTTTTTTTGGTGAGGCATTTGGGGTTAAGTGACTTGCCCAGGGTCACACAGTGTCAAGTGTCTGAGGCCAGATTTGAACTCAGGTCCTCCTGACTCCAAGGCTGGAGCTCTATGCACTGCACCACCTAGCTGCCCTAGCAAATAATTTTAAATTGAAAGAATGCTCATCAATTGGGAAATGGTTGAACAAGTTATGGCATATCATTCTGATGGAGTACTATTATGCTGTGGGAAATGAAGAGGAGGGTAGTTTCAGAAAACCATGGCAAAAATTATATGAACTGATGCAAAGTGAAATGAGAACTCAGAGATTATTGTTCACAGTAACGGCAATATTTTAATGATGATCAACTTTGAAAGACTGAGCTACTCTGATCAATACAATGATCCAAGACAATTCCAAAGGACTCATGATGAAAAAATGCTATCCACATCCAGAGAGAGAACTGATTGTTTTTCTTACTTTTATTTTTTGTGATTTGGCTAATATGGAAATATATTTTACATGATTTCACATGTATAATTAATATATTGCTTGCCTTCTCACTGGGTGAGAGAGGGGCAAGATAAAAAAAAAAGCATCCTGTTCTATTTTTGGACAGTTATTAACCCCTGGAAGTTTTTCCTGCCATCAAATTGAAATTGGATTCTCTGTGGTTTCCCCGTTGCTCCTGGTTTTGTCCTCAAACAAAATAAGTCCCATGCTTCTTCTAGGTCATGGTCCTTCAAGTACTTGAAAACAGTTGTATCCCCCCAGAGCCTTCTCTGCTCCAAGCTAAATATGCCCAGTTAGACAGAGGTTAAGTGACTTGTTCAGGGTCACAAAGCTCATGTCTGAGGTGAGATTTGAACCAAGGGTAGCTCTCTGTCCACTTACCACCTACCTGTCTGCTTGATAGTCCATAAAACATCCCTCTTGCTCCCTGTCTCTCTATGTCTTATCTCTCTGTCTCTGTTTCTCTTGCAGCCCAGGTAGGCTGAACTCCAATAAATGAAACTAATCAGTTTTTATATTTTTTAATCTAGGACAAAAGAAAGATCCCTAAGTGAAATGAACTGGTTCTTAGTAGATGTGGGGAGTTGCAGCTTTGGTAACAATTTCCAGAAGAAGGATATAGATAGTGAGAAAATCAAATTGATATTGTATCCATTTTTTAAAATTGAGTTCATTCTGTATCACTGTCAACATTTTGTATACTTCTCAAGTCAGGTTTCTTTGTCTCTGAGTTAAGTTCAGAAGCTCAGCTTTCATCTCTGAGTTAATTAAGTTTAGGAGTTCAATTTTTCCCACTAATCATTACTCTATTCCTCTGTCAAGGGAATCTGTTATCCTTGAAGGATGCTGGTGGATGCCAGGGAGTCTGCTTTGTTCATCTCTGCAACACTGATTGTGCTTCAAGAAAGTCTGGTCTGTTATCACTGTGACACTAACTAGCGCATAGGTGGACACCACCAATGAGCTTTCCATAGTGACGAGATAGAAGGAAGTACTGTTGCTAGCCCTACATTTCCAATTTCCAGCCAATAATATTGCTTTCCCATCTATGATGCTACAGGCTTTGTAACCAGTCATATTGGTTTTCCCCATCTATGATGCTGCCTTTTGACTTTTGGATGCTTCTCCTATTGTCTATAAAAATGATCTTTCTAGGGGCATCTAGGTGATGCAGTGGATAGAGCACTGGCCCTGAAGTCAGGAGGACCTGAGTTCAAATCTGGCCTCAGACCAAACATTTGACACTGAGGGGCTAAAGACCCCTTTTGTTGGTAATTGCTGGCCTTATGAATAAATTGCACATGCTTGGAACTTTGTGCCTCAGTTTGCCTTAATTTCAATCGTGACAGTAGTCAGAAAATTGGTAGAGAGAATAGGAGAATATCATTTAAGAGGTAGTATTAAGTCTCCACCCCCTCCTCCAGGCTGTAATAAGAGACAGCTTGGCATTGTGGAAAGAGCTACTACTGACTTGGAGCTGAGAATGCACGAGAGGCACAGATCCCAGCTTGAAAACCAAGCAGCTGAATCAGCTTGGACAGCTCTCTTCTTCAGGCTGTTTTCCTGATCTCCAGTTACTCATTTCCAGATAGCATTCTAAGGCTTACAAAACATTTTGCTCACAGGAGGTAGAGAGCACTAATTCCCCATTTTTTGGGTGCAAATGCTGAAACTCAGAGACAAGATGTGACTTAGAGTTAGGACTCAAACCCAGGGCTCTGACTCCTAATTCAGCACAAGTTGCCTCCTGACACCTACCTGTGAAACTCCCTACCTCCTGTCTACCCCACCCCCATCTTCCTTCCTTACTGTCCCATCCCCCCAGCCCCATTTTAGTCACAAGGCCCTAGTTAGGGGGTAGCATCTCAGGTTGAAAACATCTCCAGACTGCACTCATGAATTGCACACACACACACACACACACACACACACACAGAGCTTTGCCTGATGCTCTACTCACTTCCTGATGCAACTGGCTCAGTCCTGACACAAGCTCTATGCATTCCCCTCAATCTATATTTTAATGCACCAAAATCCAGAAAATCTCTTTCGAAAAAGGATGGATAGCAGGCCTCTTCCCAGATGCCACCCACCTGCAATTTGCTTGGGTTGGTTGACTTTCTTTGCCCAGTTAAACCAAGGGTTCTCTTTGGATTCTCAAATTAACTGATCTCTTGAAGCAAAAGTATGTCCCAGATGTGTCCCAGCCAATTTCTAGGGCTAGTGCTAGGCTCATGTGTTGAGCTAAAATCCCAGCTTTGTGGTGTCTTCCTTCTTTTCCAAATTTTCCCTCCCTGTGTCCCCCACGTCCCTTGCTTCCCTCCTACTTTGAATTACTAGGCTTCTCTGGAGGGCATGGCTCACGCCCTGGTCTCAAGATATCTTAGTGAGGGACCCAAGGGAGAAGGGTCAGAGCTGTGATCAAAAGGCCGATAATTCTTCCCTTTGTTAAAGGGGATGAGCCGCTGCCTAAAAGAAACAAAAACAAAAGAAAGAGAGAAACAGCAGCCAACAGCTGGTTATCCTGTAAATGATCATTATACTATCATACAACACATTATTATAATATCATGATGATATCAATTGCATCATAGCTTTAGAGCTGGACAGGACCTTAGAGAAGTCACTTTTTCACAGGTGTTGAAACTGAGGCCAGAGACAGATTAGCAATGGTTCCCAAGTTGAACACTGTAGTAAAAGGCTGAGCCAGGATTTGAACTCAGGACCTTTGACTCCAATGCCAGGACTTGGTCCACTGTACCAATGTGCCTTTTGGCTCTGTCCATCCATAATGCTCTATAGAAAAATATTGGGGATAACTTTCCTTTTTGGACAAAGGAAGAAAACAGAGGCAACAAAGTCTGAATAGAACGCTAGACTCAGAGAGTGATAAAACCTGGTTGAGTCTTGGCTTCAATGCTATGCGGTCAAGTTATTTTCCTTCTTGGACCCTGCTTCTTCTGTCAAATTTAATTCAACAAATACTTATTAAGTGTCCATGAAGAGCAGCTAGGTGCCATAGTGCACAGAGCACTGGGTCTGAAGTCAGGAAGACTCATTTTCATGAGTTCAAATCCGGTCTCAGACATTTACTATCTGTGTGACCCTGGGCAAGTCACTTAACCCTGTTTGTCTTGGTTTCTTTATCTGTAAAGTGAGCTGGAGAAGGAAATGGCAAACCACTCTAGAATCTTTGCTGAGAAAATCACATGGTCAAAGTCCATGGGGTTTTGTAGAATCAGACATGACTGAACTTCAACAACAATTACATTTTAACTTGGTTCAGTTGAACCGTGGCAGCAGGAAGGCAGCAGCTGCTACCAGTAATTCTAATGAGGGCACCAGCCTCTCTCCTATTCTCTGGTTTCTTGTAGGCAGCAAATGAGAGGAGGAAGAACTTGTGGCTTGGGGCAAGTATTTAACTAGCACTTTTGGACCAACTGTGTTGCCAAGGAAGAAAGATGAAACTTCTCTGTGGCAGAGCATGAGGCTCTGGGGAGCCTCTTGTCTATGTCTGTATCTATGTCTATGATCCTTTTGTTCTGTGGGTGTTCCTGGGGAAGCCTTCTGAACTGAGCTGCACTGTAATCGGAAGTGTTATGTAGAAGGGCCCTCAAAGCTGAACACTTGACAACATCTTCTGAGCCCTTCCTTACTCTCACTTGTAGGAACCTTGCAGTCAGAGGTCAGGGGACCCTGACACTGTGAGTGCTGTAGATCCTCACCTTTAAAACCAAGAACCACTTTAGGAGAGAATTCAAAAGAAAGCAAAGCTAAGATGTGAACTAGAAAAACATAGAGGCACCTAAGCCACCCAGTTAGATGCCACAAAACTGACTCATAGACTTTCATTTAGACCTACTGACTTTTACTTTATATACAGTTTTAACAACATCCATGTTCTGTTTTCTCAGTCTGCAGGGAAAAGAAATAAGACCCTTTCCAGTGCCCACAAAAATGCCCAGCTCTCTCACTCACTACTTAGAAGTATGCCATAATGAACAGAGCAATGGCCTTGGAGTCAGGAGGCCTGAGTCCTAGACTCACTTTGCTTCAGTTTTTCAACCTGTCTGGGCCTCAGTAACTCAGATATAAAAGAAGGAGGGTAGGAGCAATGAGGTGGCTCAGGAGATCGAGCCCAGCCTTGAGGTCAAGAGTTCAAATCCAGCCTCAGACACTTGACACTTACTAGCTGTGTGACCCTGAGCAGGTCACTTAACCCTGATTGCCTTACCAAAAAGCAAAAAAAATAATAAATATAATTAAAAAAATAAAATAAAATAAGGAGGTTAGACTAGATGACCTTTGACTTACAGCTCCGATGGTCTATGTCCTTGAAAAGTCTCTTGCTGGTCTAACATTCTGTGACTTAAATTGTCCTTACTGAAAGCTGGTCTTGGGAACCTAGACCTCCCAGTCTACCCATCCATCCTCAGTATACCTGCCCTAATTCCCAGGGGCTCTGGTCTTCACTTACTGTAGGACTGATTCCTTCATGTAGTTTTCACACGGATAGCGGTTGGGTTTGGACAGATAGAGTGAGCGGTACCGTTGCTGTACATCTCTTGCCTCATGTTTTGTGTTGTTGTAGCGTCCAACACCCACTGGGTTCTGAAGGGAGCAAGACAAAAACAGGCATCTGCAAAGGTGGGTGTCTACCCTCGCCGGTAGAGAGCTCCCCAGATTCTGAGTTTTGAGAGGACTCAGAGGTGAGAACATCTCCTCTGGCCACTGTTTGGCCCCAGAGGCAGAACTGGGAGCAATGGATGGTCCGGTGGGACTGGGGGATGGGATTGCACAGAGTTAGGTGTGTGGATGGACTTCCTAACACAGTCCTCTCACGGTAGCTGTTTCATTTAGGGGCAGCTCTAATATGACAGGTATTTTCCTTACATCAAGCTGAAGTCTAACTCTCTAAAAGCCCGCCTTCTACAGGAAGCCCTCCCAACACCTCTTAATTCTAGTGCCTTCACTCTAATTACTTCTTATTTATCCTGTTTATAGCTTGCTTTGTCTATAGCACAGTACTGGGAATACAGCAGGTGCTTAATAAATGCTTATTAATGGACTTACTCTCTGCAATTTTTGAGCATTGCTTCTAGTTCTGCCCTCTGAGGCCAAGCAGGACAAGGCTAAACCCTCTTCTATATAACAGGCAATCAGTCAATCAATGAACATTTAGTGGACCACAAATCCTAACTCAACAACCATTCCACTTCTTTATTTTTCCAACATCCCACATCCTTACTTCCTGACCACTGTGGATCTGTGAATTGTGGGATCCCTTGGAAAAAGGTTTCAGAAAGACTCCCCTACTCAACTACTTTTCTCTCTGTTATTAACATAAGAAGATGAGGTGGTTGGTTTTGGTTTCCCTCATAGAAATAAGGAAATATTGTGTGGTTTCCCTTGTAGAAATAAGAGAGTGGGATGGTTGAGGTTTTTATTACCCTTAAAAGGGCATGGGATGGCTTGACCACAGGTCCAGATTTGAGATAGTGGGATGGTTTCAAATGTTCCTGGAAAGAAGTGGGATGGCATCCTGCTGCCTCATCCCTTCTTATTTTGAGTACTTGTCATAGCAACTTTTCTTTCTCTTTGTTCACCCCACCCTCCCCAAAGTGATTCCTACTTACTGTGTTTCCAACAAAATTCTGGTAGGATTTCAGGTCCACCCTCTTAGAAGAAGATCCAAATGGATGCTGGTTGCTTAACTCATACCCTGGCATAGGCTTAGGGTTGTAGGAGCCTGGACCCAGGTTACACTAGGAAGGAGAAATGATTAGGGAAGCCCAGCAGAATGTCCCAGGAGGACTCTTCCCCTCCCTCTTCCCTCTGGGTAAGTTTCCTCGCCCTCTCCATTGGAGGGCAACAGAAAAGTCTACTTCAGGAACCTAATGAGAGAAGATTGAGTATGAGCCAGACATACATGAGGTAACCTGATGATGGTGAGAATAATGCCTGCTTATGGACCATCCTAGGTACATAATATGCCATTCTATAGAGAGGTTTGTTCACAACAGCTCTGTGAGATGGACAGTACAAGTATGACGATGACCATTTTATGGATGAGGAAACAGGCTCAGAGACAGTTATCTCTACTTTATAGACGAGAAACTAGGGGCTCTGCTTTCTGGGGCCCATGTGATGTGGGCTCACCCTCAAACATCCTCTAAGCTCTTTCTTGTGGTGCATTCTTCCCAGTGCATGGACTACCAGGGGCTCAGAACTACGACCATCAGTGGTTGCCAAGGCTTGGCCTTCACAGCCAAGAAAGTGCCCACCTCTCTCACTGAGAAGGCCAGGGGACCCAGCATGCCTCTTCTCTAGTCTCAAAGCACTAATCTTTTTTTTTTCTTTTTGGTGAGGCAATCAGGGTTAAGTGACTTGCCCAGGGTCACACAGCTAGTAAGTGTCAAGTGACTGAGGCCAGATTTGAACTCAGGTCCTCCTGACTCCAAGGCTGGAGCTGTATCCACTGCACCACCTAGCTGCCCTCAAAGCACTAATCTCGAAGGAAATTAGCCTAGAGACAGGCTTGTGATTTCACTTGTAATTGGGAAATGCCCAAATTTAGGAACTCCTTCTACCCTCATGGGGTTGGCACATTCTCTGTAATATATACTCTCAGACAGCTGCCTGGAGCAGCTGGAGCTGAAGTGACTTCCAGGGTCATAGCCCAACTATATCACAGAACCCAGGTCTTCCTGACTCCAAAGACAGCCTCCTATCCAGTGCACCCAAACATGGGACCATGGCCCTCAACATTCCTGAGGGTAGCCCAAACCTGATTAAAAGGTAATTGGGAAATATTTAACAAAACAAATATAAATACAATAAAACACCAACAACATTACATTTTTAAAACAAAGCTGATGTGTGGCTACAGGGATCCTTCAGCACAGATCAGTGACCCCCATTTTAATTTGGATTAGGCACTAACAACAGGCATCTCCCCAGATCATAGATTTAAAGTCAGAAGTGACCCAAGGGGTTATCTTGTCCAACCCCCTTATTTTATGAAGGAGGAAACTGAGGCAATACCTATTCTTTCCTCTCTCCCACAGTCCCACAAGCTCCCGAACTTGATGGTGTCCTAAACTGCCAGCTTCCGCACAAGCTGTGCCCTCACTCTAAACAGAATCAGCTCTGAGGAGCTTTTCCTGCTAACTGGTCCTCATCCCTCACCTCCCTCTTCCCAGCTTATTATGCCCCCAGCCCCCCAAAAAACTGCCCCACCCTTAGTTGCAAAATCCCCAGGGGCCGGCGGTGGCTACTGCCAGGCCAGCTATGAATATGAGTGTCAGGCCTGACGCCCTCTTATGTGCTGGGGGAGCCGGAGGAGGAAGAGATGAGAACTAGGCAGAGCTGCCTGGTCAAAATGAGGCTCTTTCTAGAGAGAAGGGGGCTGGACCCTCTGAGAAAGAAGGACATGTTTGTATTCCATGGAATGAAGGGGGGATCATGAGTCAATCGAGAAGCGTTTAGTAAGCACCTGTGTGTCAAGTAATAACGACAAGAGCAAACATTGACTGAGCCTGGAAGCTTTGCAGAACACTTGATGCATGTCACCTCATTGGATCGAGCACGTCCGGCTAAGAGAAATACACAGCAGCAGACCCCTGCTGAGGGGTCCACCAAGTATAACAGCAGAGAGCTCTGCCATCTTGGCCCTTATGCAGGAGGTCATGGAGAGCCACCCAAGCAAGACTGGCTACTACCCATTTCTGGGGGGATTTACCTGGGCACAAATGTTACCGTCAGAAGAAGCCTAGGCAGCATGGCTAGGGATTCAGATGGGGGAAGGATAGAGGGGGAAATCCAGGTGCTGTGAAAACAGACTGTATCAATAAAAACCCCTTTTTCTAAGCAAAAGAAATGATCATAAAGATTACTTCCAGGAAAGAGGAGAAGGCTTTGACTTGGAGTTTGGCCTTGTTATTTTGCTGGTATTGTTTTTGGCTTCATCTTGTCAGGTGAGCCACTGGGCTCTGCAAAGAATTACCTGGCAGGACCTGAAACTGGGAGGTTATGCCACAGTGTGGTGTAGTGAACGTGGATTCAGAAAGACCTGGCTTCAAATCCTACCCCTCATATTTTCTAGCTGTGTGATCATGGGTAAGAAAGTTAACTTTTCTGACAGCATCTTCATCTAAAAAGTTGTGAGTAGTAATAATGCAACTAGTATTCACCCCACGAAGCTGCTGTGAGGATTAAATGATGCAATATGTAAAGCAGTTTGCAAATTTTTTAAGTGATAGATACACAGAGAGAGAAGGAGAGGAGAGAGAGGGAAGAAAAAGAAGAGAGAGACAGAGAAGAGAAGGGAGAGAGGGAGAATAAAAGATAAGAGAAAAGAAAAAGGAGAGAAGACAGTGAGAGGAGGGCGAAAAGATGGGGAGGGAAAAGAAAGATGAGAGAGAAGAAAGAGGGGAGAGAGAGAGAGAGACAGAGACAGAGACAGAGAGACAGAGAGTGAGTGAGAGAGAGACAGAGAGACCGACCCAAGTAGAGAAGTGGTCACTAATAGCAGTTCCAGCAGGGTAAAGACTATGGAGTTTAGCATTTAGAATCAAGGTTAATTAAGTAAAAGAGGACACTACCAGTTGGTAGACTGGGAGGAGCTCCTCCTAGCTGGGGGGCTGCCATGTCCCCTCCTCACTTTTCTCCTGCTCTGTGGATCATCTTCTCAGGACAAAGCTCTGCCTGTCTTGCCAATTAGCAGTGAGCTCTTCTGCTAAGCCCAGTCTACTAATAGGAAAAGGCCATAGAGGACCCTTGGGGCCCTCCTTCCAGTCCCTAGGCCAATGTGAATTTTAATCAGTGCAAACAATGATAATTCTTTGGCTGATGTAACATCTAATAGGGGTGGAGGAAGGGATCACAAGAGCAGTGCTGGAGGTCTGGATCTCTGATTTCTCCAGCTTGGGGTACATCTGGTGTGGAAAATGGCTCCCGTGATAGAGAACACCAACTCCTCTGTAATTTACAAGCTTAGCGGGCAGCCTGGGGCGCTGGGAAAATAAAAGGACTTGCCCATAGTCATTCAGTCAGAAGGTATTGGAGGCTAGCCTTGAACCCAGGTCTGCCTGAATCCACAGCCAGCCTTCCCTCCATTAGGCCATGCTATCTCTCACCATGTGACAGCATATTTAATATCTTAATAATTTAATATATCTCATATATTATAATATATGAATACAAAAATATACAATAATTTAAATATCTCAGTAGTACATTTGCTTGTATGAATTAGAGAACAAAAATGTACAAACCAACATAAATGAGATTGCTAGGCAGCTAGGTGGTGCAGTCAGGAAAATTTGGATGCAAATTCAGCCTCAGGCACTCACTAACTGTGTGACCCTGGTCAAGTCATTTAATCTCTGCCTGCCTCAGTTTCCTGTACTGTAAAATGAGGACAATAACAACAGCCCCCCTCAGGGTTGTTGTGAGGGGATCAAATGAGATAATATTCATAAAATGCTTAGCACAGCGCCTGGCACACAGTACGTATTATATAAATATTACCTGTTATTATTATCGCTATCAAATCTTTTGAAAGCAATTGAAAATGTCTCTGTGTACATAAAAATATATTATGTGTATGGCTCTTCAGAAAGTTATAGTGTACAAACATTTCAGAAAATGAGTCTTAGTAAAAAGACATGAGAAATTTAGAACCAGAAGGGGGTTTGCAGGCCATCCGTGGTTTACAAATGAGGAAACTTGGAAATAGGTCACACGGGGGTAAGTAGCAGAGCCAGAATTTGAACACAGGTCCTTTGACTCCCGGTTCACTGTTCCTTCTATCACACTGCTTCCCTTGAAAAGCTGCTGACCCTTGATGCAGTCCAACCCCTTCATTTCAGAGGAAGAAACTGAAGATCAGAGATGAGGTGCTCTGTCCCAGGTCACACAGCAAGTTTGTGGCAGATTGGGGACCAAAGTCCATATTTTTCTCCCTGTTCTCACTATCCCTCCAAAGTCACTGGAGGGACTGTGAAGCATGGATATAAGTGATGAGGGAGAGTCTGGGAAGGGAGGGGAAAAGGGCAGCGGAGACCACTGACCTGTTTGTTGGGCCACTGGCTAAGAGTAGAGCAGTAGATCCTCTCGGTGGGCACTGCTGGGCTCCGAGACAACTTTCCAAAGACTCCATGTTTCTTCCTCCAACGTGAGTTCAGCTCATCCACAAAGCTCTTGAATGAGAACAGCTCAAATTGCTTTTTTTTCTAGGGTCCAAGAACAATGCCAAGAAATAATAATCAAGAAATAAAGCACATCCTTCCCTACAGTGGGAATGTGATGGGAACCACAAATGGAGAAGACGCAAAACATAGAACCGGACAGAATTCAAGGTGCATGATATTTGGGCTCCTTTCTCTCCTCTTTCTACATTTTCTTTCTTGGAGGCTTCATCAGCTTCCACAGGTTCAACTATTATCCCTAGGAATACGACCCCACACCACAGTGCTCTTCCCGAAGGTCTGACCATGACCTGCTCAGTCAACTCCAGTGACTTCCTGTCCCCTCCAAGATAAAATATAAAATCCCATCTGGCATTTAAAGTCCTTAGTCACCTGGGCCCCTCCTGCCTTTCCAGTCTTCTTACACCTCTACATGATGTCCTTTACATAATCTGCAATCCAGAAGTTGCCTCCTGGCACATGACACTCAGTCTCCCATTTCCTAGCACTTTATTATTTATTTATTTATTTGCTTTTTGTTACATTTCAATTTTGAGTTGTCTCCCTCTCTCCCTCCCAATCCTGCATTAGATAAGGCCAACATTTGACACAGATATATATTGAAACCATGTACTATATATACTTCCACATATCCACTCTTTCTCTGGAGGTGGATAGCATCTTCTTTCACAGGTCCTTTGCAGTGGATTTTACACTCTTCAAAACAATATTGCTGTTACTGCATATGATATTCTCTTGGTTCTGCTCATTTCACTCTGCATCAGTTCATACAAGTCTTTCCATGATTTTCTAAAATCAACCTGCTCACCGTTTCTTACAACACAGTAGTATTCCATCACAATCATATATCACAGCTTGTTTAGCCATTCCCCAATTGATGGGCACCCCAGCAATTTCCAGTCCTTTGCCACCACAAATAGAGCTGCTATAAATATTTTAAAACATAAAGGTTCTTTTCCTTTTTTCCTAATCGCCTTGGGAAGTAGACCTAGTAGTGATATTGCTGGCTCAAAAAGTATATACAGTTTTATGACAATTCAGGCATAATTCCAGATTACTCTCCAAAATGTTGGATCAATTCACAGTTCCACCAACAGTGCAATAATATCCCAATTTTTCCACATCCCCTCCAACATTTGTCATTTCCCCCTTCTATCATTTTAGCCAGTTTGATAGGTGTGGGATGACATCTCAAAATATTGTTTTAATTTGTATTTCTCTAATCAGTAATGATTTAGAGCATTTTTTCACATGATTACATGTGAGTTCTTTGAGTTCTTTGAAAAATTGCCTATTCATATTCTTTGACCATTTATCAATTGGGGAATGACTCATATTCTTATAAATTGGACTCAGTTCTCTATACATTTGAGATATGAGACCTTCATCTGAGAAACTGTCTATAAAAAAAATTTCCCCCAATTTTGTGCTTTCCTTCTAATCTTGTCTACATTGGTTTTATTTGTACAAAACCTTTTCAATTCAATGTAATGAAAATTACTCATTTTACATCCCACAATACTCTCTATCTCTTGTTTATTCATAAATTCTCTTCATCCATAAATCTGATAGTTAATATGTTCCATGTTCTTCTAAATTTTCTTATATCTCCCTTTATATCTAGGTCATGTAACCATTTTGACCTTATTTTGGTAAATGGTGTAAGATTGATCTACACCTAGTTTCTGTCAGACTGCTTTCCAGTTTTTCCAGCAATTTTTACCAAATAGTGAGCTCTTTTCCCAAAAGCTTAGATCCTTACATTTATCAAACACAAGGTTATTATAATCATTTACCACTGTGTACTGTCTATCTCCTGATATTCACTGATCCACCATTCTGTTTCTTAGCCAGTACCAGAAAGTTTTCATAATTACTACGATATAATACAGTTTAAGATCTGGTACTGCTAGACCTCCTTCCTTTATATTTTTTTTTATTAATTCCTTTGATATCCTAGATCTTTTGTTCTCCCAAATGAATTTTGTTACTATTTTTCCTATCTCAATTTTTTGTTAGTTTAATTGGGATGGCACTGAACAAATAGAATAGTCTAGAGTGAATTGTCATTTTTATTATATTGGCTCAGCCCTCCCATGAACAATTAATATTTCTCCAATTACTTAAATCTGACTTTATTTGTATAATTATGTTCATATAGTTCCTGGGTTTGTCTTGGCAGATAGGTCCCACCTTATTCCACCACCTTCCCACAATTCCCCTTCCTCCTAGCATTTTCAAGGACTGTTTTCCATGCCTAGGATACTCTTCCTCCTCATCTCCACCTCCTGGCTTCCCTGGCCTACAGCAGTAGCTGCTTTGTAGCAGGAGGCAGAGATGAGGAGGCAGAGCATTCCAGGCTTGAGGGAAAGCCAGAGAAAATGAAGAGTTGGGGGCCTAAGGGCTGAGTCTGTGGAACAGCCAGGAGAACAGTGTCACTGGATCATAGATTATACAGAGGGTAATTAAAGTGTAAGAAGACTGGAAAGATAGGAAGGGCTTTCAAAGCCAAACAGAGGATTTTCTATTTGATCCTGGAGGTAATAGGAGATGCTGAAGTTTATTGACAAGATGCATTAAAAAGGCTTTGACAAAGGACAACCTTCACTTATGACCAAAACCTTACAAACACGGGTATGGAAGGGCTTTTTTGATTAAAAAAAATGTATCTCCAGTTTGGTAATACACCATTCCAATAAAAATAAAGGTAAAGCAATGAGGTCCCCTTTCCCCACTGCTATTGATCATATATTTTGAAATGTTAGCAATAGCCATAAGAAAAGAAAGAAATTAAAGGCATAAAGATAGGAAAAGAAAAGATGGCACTATCCCTAGTTGCTGATAACATAATGGCTTACTTACAATATCCTAGAGAGTCAGCAAATAGACCAGTTGAAACAATTAATAGCTTTACTAAAATGGCAGGATACAAAATAAACCCACAAAACCCAGCAGCATTTCTGTATTGCAATAACAACTCCAGGAGGGAAGAAAAGAAAGGGAAGCCCCATTCAAAATAATTACAAGATTTCTTAAATATCTAGCAGTCAACCTATCAAGGGCAGCTACGTGGTGCCATAGTGGATAGAATGCTGGACCTGGAGTCAGGAAGACTCATCTCTCTGAGTTCAAATTGCCATAGCCTCAGACACTTACTAGCTCTGTGACCTTGGGCAAGTCACTTCACCCTGTTTGCCTCAGTTTCCTCATTTGTAAAATGAGCTAGAGAAGGAAATGGCAAACTACTCCAGTATCCTTGCCAAGAAAACCCCAAATGAGGTCATGAAGAGTTGGACATGACTGAACAATGACAAGAAGTCAACCTACCAAGGCATACCCCAAACCTGGATAGATACAATCATAAAAGACTTCCCAGAGAAATGGAAGCTTGAACAATCAAAGGGATATTCCGTGCTCATACTTGAGCTGTACCAACAGAATAAAAATCATAATGTTATCTAAATTAATTTGCAGATTTAGTGCTATAGCAATCAAATGATCAAGGAGAGAAATAATAACATTCATCTGAAGAATCAAAAAACATTGTTGCAAGGAAAACAAAGACAAAAAAAGCAGGAATGAAGAGCAAACAGCATTCTGGACCTCAGGTTATATTATCAAACAGTAATCATCCAGCTGATTTGATATTGTTTAAAATTTGAAAAGTAGATTAATGGAAGAAATATTAGACAAGAAATAACTAAACTCTATAACCCAAGTGCAATAAATCCCAAACCAAAAATTACCTAGGGAAGAACTCTCAACTGATAAGAAGTTTTGGGTGGGAAAACTAGAAAGCAGTCTGGCAGAAATTATTTTTAGACCAATAGCTTGCACCATATGCAATTAGGTGGCATAATGGATAGAGTGCTAGATTTGGAGTCAGGAAGACCTGGATTCAAATACTGACTCTCACACTTACTAGCTGTGTGACTCTGGGCAAATCATCTCACCTTTCTCAGCCTCAGTTCTTATCTGTAAAATGGGGATAATAATACCACATACTGCACAGGGTCCTTGAGAGGATCCAATGAGATAATTCATGTAAAGGGCTTTGGGATCCTTAAACCTATTGGAAAAGCTGCCCTCTAGCTGTTGCCTCGTGACTTCCAATAAAGTTGTAACCCACTTACTTGTTCAGTTATTCAGTTGTGTCCAACTCTTCATGCCCCCATGGACCACAGCACTCCAAGGCTGTCTATGGGGTTTTCTTGGCTAAGATACTGGAGTGGTTTGCCATTTCCTTCTCCAGTGGATTAAAACAAACAGAGGTTAAGTAACTTGCCCAGGGTCACACACCTAGTAAGTGTTTGAGGCTAAATTTGAACTCAGGTCTTCCTGACTCCAGGTGCAGTGCTCTATACACAATGGTGCCCCCTAGCTGTCTCAACCACGCACTACCTCACCACATAACCCTTTACTAAAAGAATTGGAGATGTTTTCCCTGGAGGAGAGACACGGCAGCTTCCTTTAAGCATTTGAATGGATGTCACATTGAAGAGGAATTAGATTTGTCCCATTTGGCCCCAGAGGGCAAAACCCAGACCAGAGCATGAAAGTTGTCAAGAGACAAACTTAATAATGGTGGTGATGATGATAGCTAACATTCTGATAGCACTTTAAGGTTTGCAAAGCACCTTAGAAATATTATCTCATTTGCTCCTCATAACAACCCTAAGAGGGAGGTGTTATTATTATCCCCATTTTACAGATAAGGAAACTGAGGCAAACAGGGTTAAGTGACTTGTCCAAAGCCACACAGCTTGTAAGTGTCTGAGGTCAGATTTGAACTCAGGTGTTCCTGACTGCAGGCCTGGTGCTCTAGACACTAGAGCATACCCCAAAGGCTTGATTTCAGCTTCCTAATAATGACTGTTCTGCAAAAGTGGAATGTGATGCCTTGGGAGGGCAGGGGAAACAATCTCTGATTCAGTAATAACAACAGTAAGTGATGGGCACTTGAAGGTTTGCAATACACTTTACATAATTTCACCTGATCCTTAGAACCATTTCACTGATGGAGAAATTGAAGCTCAGGGTAACTTGATCATGGTCACACGGCTAGGAAATATTGGAGGCAGGTTTTGAACCCAGGCCTCTCTTTGCTCCAGCATACCACCCTGTTGCTAACGTTCTCTGTTCTGAGGCCCCTTTGAGCTCTGGCTTTCTAATCAGTCGCAGTTATCTGTTCAGGGCTCATAACCATGGCCTAAAGAAGGGACAGAGGGACCCACTGATCCCCCCTGACTCCTGCCAGGGCTTACCAACTTCAGAGGGAGATGCATTTCTAGAGATGAGCCCAACCATAATGAGTCAAGCCCTCCTCCTCTACCATTCTTGTGGATGCCCTAGAATGAGTTACCCTCCCATTGAGGACCAGAGTACAGACCTGGGTGGCGTAATGCCCATAGGCGATAGGCATGGACCGGTCTCCTGAGAAAACATCGTAGGGCCCACGCTTGCTGATGGTCCGGGTCAGTAATTCTTCCATTCCGCTTTTGAAGGAGTAGGTCCCTGGAGACAAGCCACTGCCCTAGAATCAGAGGAATGACCAACCATAGAAGAGTCATGGTGAAGAAATGCACCATTTGTTCTCCCGAATTCCATGTCATTCAACAAGCATTGATTAAGCGCCTCCTGTAGGCAAAGCTCCATGATTAGAGCTGGGGACAGAAAATTGGAAAATGGAAATGATTCTGATCCTCAAGAACTTCCACACTAGCCAATGTTGTCGGGATCCCTATGAACTCAGTGAGGGGTGCTGGCTCCAGAGCTCTCCAGGTACATGGGCTTGAGAAGGACCTGGAGCCTGGAGCCAGGCATATACAACCAGGCTTAGAGGTCAGATGGGCTGCTGCCCTGTTGGGCAGGGCCACCTGTAAGAACTCATTAATCGGTCATTCAATAAACAAGCCTTCGTTAAGCACCTCTGTGTGCCAAGCTCTGAACTAAGTACTGGGGATACAAAAACAAAGCAGACCCTGCCCTCAAGGAGCTTCCATTCTATCAGGACAGATGACTCTCTCTCTCTCATATATGTAGATACAGACATCTAGACATATACATATATAGATAGATAGATACATATAGATAAACATATGAATAGATACATAGATATATACACATATACATATATATACACATACACATACATATACATATAAATAGATACATAGATACATATAGATAAACATATGAATAGATACATAGATATATACGCATATAAAGATACATAGATACATGTAGATAGATACAGACATATACACATATAATTAGATAGATACATATAGATATATAGATACATAGATATATACATACATATATACACATACAAAATATGCATATATGTATATAATTATGCATACATATAAAATAAATATATTATGGTAGAGAGTGGGGAGGAAGAGAAACCAGTGCTATTTGGTATGTGTGTGTATATATATACACGTGTATATACATACATATGCGCTTTTTAGCACAATATTTTCAGCAGTGTTGTCAGATGCCTTCAATGAAGACAAAAATGGCATAAAGTCAGCGGCTGCACTAATGGTAAATTATTTAACTTGAAAAGGGGACAAGCCAAGACAAAAGTAGAGAGAGAGATGGTGCGTGACTTTTTGTTCACAGATGATTGTGCACACAATGCAGCCTCTGAAGCTGAGATACAGAAAAGTATGGATCGATTCTCTGCTGCTTGTACTAATTTTGGCTTAACAGTTAGGAACAAGAAAAAAACTCACCTCAGCAGACAACTCTAAGGCCTTCTTAGACTTGGTGCGCATAATTCCTTTGGCGTGTGATCGATCCCAGGCCTTCTCCTCCATCTCTGTGTAGGGGTTCCCTCCTTTCCCATAGTTCCCAGGGCCAGGAAAACAATTCTGCCACTTGGAGAGAAGGAACAGGCATCATCACAGGGAGCACAGGATGCGACCATTACCCTCGTCAACCTGGGGTAGCTGTTTTCATAACTGTGTGGCTAGCCTTTCGTTTCACTAAATCAGTCATTTCCAGGTGTCATGCCCCACCTTGTACCAAATTAAAACAGGTTAAGCATTACAAACTGTTAGAGTGGGAAGTGGATGGGCTCCAGGACCCAGCTTTTCCCCTCTGACTCTTAGGACTTGAGTGGCCTTAACCAAGTCATTTCAACTCTGTGGGGCTCAGTTTCTTCCCATGTCAAATGAGGAGGTTGGATTCTAGGTAAGTCAGGAAGAAGCTGGGGTTCAGATACAATGGGACTTGTTACCCTGGGCCAGTCACTTAACCTCAGTGGGGATGATAGCAGCGCTGACCTCCCACAGTGGTTGTGAAAATCGAAGGAGATATCATCATCATCATCACCATTGTTAGATATAACAAAGACAAACATGAAACCATCCTTGCCCCTCAGTGGGTTTTCATTCTGCCTTTAAGTATCGACTTAATTCTCACTAGGGCAGCTAGGTGGTGACAAAGTTGAATAGAGCACTTGGCCTGGAGTCAGGAAGATTCATCTTCCTAAGTTCAAATCCAACCTCAGACACTTAGTAGCTGTGTGACTCTGGGCAAGTCACTTCACCCTGTTGTCCTCAATTTCCTCATCTGTAAAATGAGCTGGAGAAGGGAATGGCAGACCACTCCAGTATCTTTGCTGAGAAACCGCCAAATACGGTCACAAAGAGTCAGTCACAAGCTAATCCCCCATCCCCTTTGCTCATCTTCAGAACTCCAATCCTAGGACAGAGTCTTCTTAAATTGGCAATTGATTTAACTCTCCCTTCAAACTTCTCTCTATCCTTCAACCAATCAAGCGCCTGCTGAGTATCTACTGTGTGACAGCCACTGTATCAGGCACTAGGGATATTAAAAACAAAAATGAAGCTGTCTCAGGGGAGAGATCATTGGACCACTGATTCCTCTAATTAAGCCCCTACCAGGTGCCAAGCACTGGGGATGCAGAAAAAAACCCTAACTTCATCACCAGTGCCCCAAGAGCTAGAACTAGGAAGCGGCATCTAGGTGACACAATATATACAGTACTGCCCACAGAATCAGGAAGACCTGAGTTCTAATTCTGCCCGGGCAAGTCACTGAACTTTTGCCTCTATTTCCTCATCTGTAAAATGATACCCTCTGCCTTCAAGGATTGTCACAAGGATAAAATGACATAACATTTGTAAGGTGCTTTGCAACCCTTATAGTGCTACAACAATGCTGGTTATTCTTATGACTAGGACCAGTGGGTAGAAATCTAGAGGAGACGTTTGGCCCTGATGTCAGGAAAGCTTCCTCACCAGAGGGCTCTCCCAAAGGGGAAGGGCTGCCTCGGGGAAGTACTGAGCTTTCTTTATCAGAGGCTTTTAACCCGAGGCTGAATGGCCACTCCTCAGGGATGCCCCAGGGAACGTTATGATTTGTTCATTTCTGTTCAGGGACGTGCTGGACCAGATGCCGCCGTGGCCCGTGCAAACGCAGCGCTTCTGTGGTCTCACCGCCGCACCAAACCATGCCTGATCACCAGCATCTAAACTGTGTTTTGATACTTTTTTTACAGCCTGGAGAGTAATTAACAATTATGGGCAGCTGCAAGCCCCCTTTGCCTCCTGTGCACAGCTGTTTGCTTTTCAATTCTGGCCTGCCCAGAGACTAACAGCTAATTGTCTCTTATCCTCTGACTCTCGATCTTCCAGTACCGGCTCACTCACTCAGAACCAAGCAGTGACCCTCCATCCTCCCCACAGTCCAATTCTGCTCTCAGCACTTGGTCCAAACACCTCGGGCTGGCTTGAGCAGGACCAGCATTAGAAGAACAAACTGACCTCTCCCGAATCCCAGAAATTAACTCACCACCATGGGGAGCTGTCAGCCCTCTTTACGTTGGCTAAAGAGACGCTATCCCTTTGCAGCCTATGCGTGTGTGATCTTGGATAAATCATTTTCTTCTTTGCACCTCAGATTCCTGCTCTGTAAGACTGGGGGGGTTAGGAGGTGCTGGACAATCTCCAAGGCCCCTCCCAGCTCTGACTGTCTATTCTAAAAGCCTTCCCAGTTCTGATACTTTCTTTCCCAAGAACCCTCCCATCTCTGACATTCTCTGTTCTAAGGCCCCTCCCAGCTGTGATATGTCACATTCTAAGGGCCCCTCTCCAGTTCTGACGATCTTTGTTCTAAGGCCCTTCCATCTCTGATGTTCTGTGTTTTAGGGATCCTTTCCCGCTGGGATTTTCTGTCTCTCCTCTTTTCCCCTTTTGTTTTCCCCCTGACGCTCCCCCAGGTCTGCCACTGGCCACCATAGGTGCCCAAATTGGTGATGACCAGCATCTCGTCTCAGGTATGGGCTCAGGTGTTTTTCCCGAAGAGGCAGAACTGGAAGGATCCTTTCATTGACCCACAGACAGAAGCAGTGAGGAGGAAAGGCAGAGCTGCTGGCCCGATGGGGAGGGAAGCCCTGTGCCCTCCTTAGCCTCTGCCGGCCGCAGACGGCCACCTTCCCCACGCCTGCTGTTCCTGCCATCCCCACTGAAGGTCACTGCTGCCTCACAGACCAGAGGAAGCAGCATCCTGGGCTCCTATCCAGTGTCTTTGAGCTTCATGAAATCCCTGAACCCCATTAGGTAGAAAGGGAGCTCAGCAAAGAAGGGGAGAATGTGGAACAGAGACTGCTGGATTTGGGGAGGGGGAGCTTAGAACACAGAACACAGACTGTGAGAGCAGACAGTGCGGTGCAGGGGAAAATACTGGATTTGGGAGCAAAGGCCCTGCGTGTGAAACCGGGCTGTGCTATTTATGACTGCAGGGCATCTCTGGACAAGTCACCTGACCTTTGGGGGCTTTGGTTTCCTTTCTGGAAAATGGGAGCAGTGTCCTAAAAGGCCTTTAAGGTTCCCTTCCAGCTCTAGATCTTTGGTCTAGATAGAATAGGGAATGTCAGAGCTGGGAGGGGCCTTAGAACAGGGGATGTCAGGGCTGGGAGGGGCCTTAGAACAGGGAATGTCAGAGTTGGGAGGGGCCTTAGAACAGGGGATGTCAGGGCTAGGAGGGGCCTTAGAACAGGGAAGGTCAGAGCTGGGAGGGGCCTTAGAACAGGGAATGTCAGGGCTGGGAGGGGCCTTAGAACAGGGAATGTCAGGGCTGGGAGGGGCCTTAGAACAGGGGATGTTAGAAAATAGAATACAGTACATTGAAGGTGAAAAGAACATTAGATTATTGAACGTGAGAGTTTGCCAGGCCCTCAGAATTCTGTTATTTCATAGAACTGCATAGGATCCCAGGTGGCACAGCCGGAAGGCACTGTAGCTCTCCTTTAGACTGACCTTTTCATTTTACAGATGAGGAAACTGAGGACTGGCAAGGTTACAGGACTTGGCTGTCACACTGCTAGAACTAAGGACGAGATTTGAATCCAGGCCCTCCGACACCAAATATGATGCCTTGTTCACAACCCTGCCCTGTCTCAGAGCCCTGAGTCAGAGATCATCTCTTCCTAGACAGAGGAAGCGGCTTATCCAAATCCTCCTGCCTCGGCCTCCTTGCCTCCCCCAGCCTGTGTGTTCTCAGCATGCAGTCCCAGGTGGAGCTGACGCTTACTTACACACACATATACACACATACACACAGGCACACAGAGGCACAGACACATATACACACATACACACAGGCACACAGAGGCACAGACACATATACACACATACACACAGGCACACAGAGGCACAGACACATATACACACATACACACAGGCACACAGAGGCACAGACACATATACACACATACACACAGGCACACAGAGGCACAGACACATATACACACATACACACAGGCACACAGAGGCACAGACACATATACACACATACACACAGGCACACAGAGGCACAGACACATATACACACACACACACACACACACACACACACACTGCCTGACAGTGTTTACAGTGCAAGGATGCTGCTCAGACACAATCCCGCGTGGGGAGAAAGGCTGACTCTTCTCGAAGTTCAGAGGCTCCTGCAGAGCGAGCCGAGCCGGCCTGGCTCCCCCGGCCCTCGGGAGCCGAGGCAGGCCGGCCTGCACCATCCCTCGCCAGGCGGTTTCAGGCCCTGCTGAACCCGAGGCCGCTGTGTGACCTCTCTCTGTCACTCTCAAGGCAGCAGAGGAACAAACAGCAGCCCGACCCCATCTCGAAACAAGGAGCCGGTGATCCCGGCCCGTCGTCTCGACTCGGACCTTACTCCCTGAGGAAACGAGCGCGAGCCCTGCTGTCCCTGCCCTGCTCAGACCGCACCCGCCTGGAGTGCGGCTCAGCCCTGGGCACCACGTTTCAGAAGGGACGCTCGTAAGCTGGAGCGGGCCCAGAGCAGGACGACCGAGAGGCTATGTCCGTCAGCCAATCAGCGTTCATCAAGCGCTTGCTACATGTGAGGCATTGTACTAATTCCCGGGGAAGCAAAAAAAGGTAAAAAGCAAACAGCCCCTGCCCTCGGGGAGCTCCCAGTCTAATGGGAGAGATGCCAGGCATGTAACCATGGACGTGTGAGATGCATCCAGTGCTCAGCCTGAAGTCACGCCGAAGACGGAGAGATGAGTAAGTAACCAGGCTGCTTCAGCAGGAGAAAAGCCTCCGGGGCAACCGGACAGCTCCCTTTAAAGAGTTCGCTGGCTGCCAGATGGGAGAAGGATCTGCGCAGCCCCAAAGGCAGGCCCAGGAGCAGAGGAGAAAAGCTGCCAGGAGGCACGTGCCTGCTTGATGTATAACTTATGGCTAATAACATCACATGTGCTTTACATACGATATCTTATTTATAAAGCTGAGCAAAGTTACGTGACCTAGCCAAGAGCACACAGCTAAGTGTCTGAGGCAGGATTCAAATTCAGATTTCCAGTTGACACTAGGAAGAATTTCCTAACAAAGCTGCCTTTAGGATAGGATGTGCTAACCCAGGAGGTCAATGAGTTCTCTGTCACTGAGGCTGTTTAAGCAGAGGGCAGATGGTCACTTAGAGGGGCAGTGGTACAAAAGATTCTAGTTTAGTGCAAGGAAATGTGTTTCTTCCAATTCTGAGATTCTGTGACCCTTAAAAAATAAAATGACACTTTCCGCTCCCTATAAATTTCCTCCCCCAATTACTGCCCCCCCCACCAGCTGCAGTTACATCTTCACAAGATCACATCTTCTCAGAACTGGGAGAAACCTCGAAGACCACCTAAGCCTGAACAAGGAATCCCATTACAACACCCTGGACAAGTGGGCATCCAGGCTGTGCTGGAAGACCTCCAGTGACAGGGAGCTCACTACCTACCAAGGTAGCCCAAGCCATTGTGGCAAAATTCTGTTGGGAAGCAATTCCTTATATCAATCTTAAAATGACCTCACTACAATTTCTATCCATGGGTTCCCATTCTGCCCTCAGGGACCAACCAGAATCAATCTAATCCCAGCTTCCACCGTAGCTCTTCAAATACTTGAAGAGATCTCTCTTCCCCCAGCCCACACTAAGTGAGTATCTCTAATTGCTTCAATCAATTAACCTTCTACTGAGTTGAATGGACTCAAAGTCCTTTACCCCCTCCTCCAGCTGAGCCACGTCCTTCCTAAATGGGGATGCCCAGAAGTCAATTCATTTAACTGAGGTGAACAAAATATCCTAGATGTGGCTGGCCAGAGCAAAGTGGTATAGGAATATTACCTTCTTAGTATTGGAAGCTATGCCCCTCTTAATCACATTGATTTTGGGGGGGGGTGCCCCCTTGTGGTCCACTAAAACCCCCGGAGCTTTTTCAAACAGCTGCCTAGCCATGCCTCCCCTACCTTGTACTTGTGGAACTGATTTTTTTAACCCAAGTAAGGCTTTTACACATCTCCCCTATTTTATCTTAGACAGTTTGGCCCACTGTCTTGGGCCATTGAAATCCTTTTTGGATCTTGACTCTGTCATCCAGTGGATTGGCGATCCTTCCCAACTCTGAGTCATCCCCAAATGTGATGAGCCTACCATCCATAGCTTTACCCAAGTCATTGATAAAATGTTCAACAGCAGAAATCTCTGGGACAGACCACTGGGGGCATCCTGCCAAGGAGGTCCCTGAAGGTGCTCACTTTTGTTTGGGGATTAATGTGGCATACTGGAAAGCCTTCTAGGAAACATGGGGTTGGAAACCAGTCCAGGCTTTTATTAGCTATGTCCCAAAGGATCTTAGCTCTAGAGTCAGAAGGCAATTTAGAGAACTTTGAGTCCAACTCTCATTTATAGATGAGGAAGATGAAACTCCCCAAAGTTAGTTCTGGATCCCCCACAGCTGGGAAGGACTCAAGGCAGGTTTTGGAGCTCAGTCTTAACTCCAAGAAGGGCACCCTAGACACTCTACTGCACTGCCTCTTACACAAGTCATTCTCTCTGTCTGGGATTTGGCTTCTTCCTCTGAAAAATGGGGGGGGTGGACCAAGTGAACCCCAAAGGCTCTTTCCCAACCAGAAGTCTGATCAGCTCTACTTAGGAATAAAAGATTGTTTATTCACTTGCACCATCCCTGGGGGGAGTGATTGCTGGAGAGGCAGACCATTCCAGAAAGACCTACCCCCACCATCTCTGAGAAGCGAACTCCCCCAGAGCTGAGCAGGCCCACGTTGCTGCAGGGTTTTTCTTGGGCCAATTCAACGAAGTCTTTGTAGTTGTAGGATCCTGGACCGATGTTTTCTTCCTTGTTAAAGACACAAGAAAAGTAATTAAAGAAAATATTGGGAAACTTCTGGGGTAAAACTGGAAGCTGTTCCCAAGAGAAGCCAAAGTTTGGACAAATCGAACACTAGCCCCAAGCTGGATCCCAGTCTTCCCTGAGGTTCTTTTGGTAGCAGCCAAATTGTTTGACAACAGCTTGGCACAAGGATGGGAAGAGGATGGGGAGCGATGTCATCAATCAATCAGTTTACTGGCATTTCCTACCAGGTGTTAAGCACTGTTCTAGAGCACTGGGGATATAAGTATGAAGAATGAAGTAATACCTACTACGTTCTATTGGAAGAGACAAGTACATGTGAAAATATACATATATATATATATATATATATATAGCATAAATATAAAATAAATAAATACAAATCTATATAAGATAGCTAAATACAAGGTATTTGGGGAGGCAGAGACCAAGCAGTTCAGATTGGGAAAGGCTTCATTCAGAAGACAGTGACAGTTCTGACAGTTTTCAGAAGAAGAAATCAAAGCTATGAAAAAATGCTCTAAGTCACTATTGATTAGAGAAATGCAAATTAAAGCAACTCTGAGGTACCACCTCACACCTATGTGATTGGCTAATGTAACCAAAAATGTTGGAGGGGATATGGGAAAATTGGGATGCTTATGTGCTGTTGGTGGAGTTGTGAACTGATCCAACCATTCTGGAGAGCAATTCAGAAATATGCCCAAAGGCTTATAAAATTGTGCATACCCTTTGACCCAGCAATGCCACTACTAGGTCTGTATCCCAAAGAGATCAAAGAACAAAGAAAAGGACCTCTTTGTACAAAAATATTTATAGCTGCTCTTTTTCTGGTGGCAAAGAATTGGAAATTGAAGGAATGCCCATCAATTGAGGAATGACTGAACAAGCTGTGGTAAATGATTGTGATGGAATACTATTGTGCTAGAAGAAAGGATGAGGGGTGGTTTCAGAAAAACCTGGGAAGACTTATGGGAACTGATGCTGAATGAGACTAGGAGAACATTATACACAGTAACAGCAATGTTGTACAATGATCAACTGTGAAAGACTTTGCCACTCTCATCAAGAGCTATAATTCAGGACAATTCCAGATGAGCCATGATCAAAATGCTATCCACCATCAAAGAGAGAACTAAGAAAGTCTGAGCACATATTGAAGCATAATAATTTCACTTTATTGTTCTTGCTTTATCTTTTTGCAATATGGCTAATACGGAAATATGCTTTGTATGATTTCTCGTGTATAATTGATATCAATATCAATTTCTCAATGGATGGGGGAGGGGTAAGAGGGAAACAGAATCCGGAACTCAAAAAACTTTAAAATAAATGTTTAAAATAAACAAAATATTATATAATAAAATGAAAATATTATTTTCTTTTAAATGGTGCCTGAGCCACGTCTCAAAGGAAGAGAGGGACCCTATGAGACAGAAGTTAAGGAGAAAGTGCATTCTACTGGGAAACAGTGGGCTATGCTCTGTTAAGGTTGGGGGAAAGAACTGGAAAATCTACTAATTACCATGATTTTTAAAAATCTATTCTGGAATCTGCTTGCTCTACTGAGACCTCATTCTTTGTTTATCTAGGGTCTGTTCACTGGATTTGGGAAGGTTTAGCCTTGAGACGTGAAGACGTAGAGGGAACATGACTGTCATGTCATGACGTGTCAAGTATCTGAAGGGCTGTCTTGTGGAAGAAGGATTAGTTTTCTTCTGCTCAGCCCCAAAAAAAGGCAAAACAGGGAACAGCACAGGAAGTTAGATATAGGCTGATCTCAATTCTACAGAAAGAAATTCTCTGCAGTGGGAGGGACTGTTTCTCAAAGTGAGGAATCTAAAAAGAACACAGGTGGTCCTGGGTAATATTGAGTTCCTCCCCACTGAAGGCATTCAGGCAGATGTCATAGAAGGTCCCTGACAGGAACAGTGTACATGGGGAGACAGTCTAGGGTCCAGGAATCCCTGCCTGGGATGGGAGATTCAACTAGATGCCCTCAGAGTTCCCATCTTGTCTATAATTATAATTTTTTAAACTTGTAAGAAACCTCCCAGCTGGGAAACCTTGAAACCTCTAGGAAACTTCACTAAGCCTATCCAAGCCTCAGCTTTCTCATGTGTAAGATGGGGGTGGTAATAATAGCCCCCAACTTGTGAGAAGCAAGTGAGATAACATGTTAAGTGTTTTGCAGACTTTAAAGCAATACAGAGACATCTGTTACTATTATCATTCAAGACCCAGCTGGAGAATTGGGTTTGAAGTCAGAAATGTCTCAGCTCAAACTCTGCCTCTGACAGTTACTAGCTCTACGACCCTGGGCCAGTCATTTGACTGTTGTTTGCCTCAGTTTCTGCATCTGTAAAATGAGGGATTGGACTCCCTGGCCTCTAATGTCCCTTCCAGCTCTAGATCTCTGATCCGACTGCCTCCAGAAGAGGCTTTCCTGACTCCCCTTCTTGTTAGTACCACCCTCTGAAATGACTGTTTTTCTATATGTGCTGCATATTTGGAGTTACACCCACGTCACTCCAATGACTTCTGATTGTCTCTAGGATAAAATGGATACTCTTCTGTTTAATTTTCAAAGCTCTTCACAACCTGACCGCAGTCTACCTTTCCAACCTTATTATAAATTACTCTCTTCTCATAATATAATGCAGCCAATCTTGTCTCCCTGTTGTTCCTCACATATGATACTGCATTTCCCACCTCCATGTCTTTGCATGGGCTGTTCACACCTGGGATGCACCCTCACCTCACTTCTGCTTCTTAGAATCTATTGCTTCTTTCAAAACTCTGTTCAAATGATACCCTCCACATGAAGCCTTTCTTAACCCCCCTAGCCCACCAACTGCTAAAGCCTTCTCTATCAAAAAAACCCCAAACAAACCAACAACCTACTTTGAACTTATTTTGTATGTAATTGTTTATATTTCTATTATTTCTCTCTGATAAAATGTAAGCTTCTTGAGGGCAAAATCTTTTTTTTTTTTGGGAGGGGGGTCTTTATATCCCTAGCATCTAACAGTGTCTGGCTAAACTTCATTGAATTGACTAATGTGAAAATATGTTTAATAGGAATGTATATGTAGAGCCTATATCAGATTGCACACTGTTTTGGGGAGGGAGGGGAGAGGAAGGGGGAGAAAAATTTAAAACTCAAAAGTGTATAGAAATTATTGCTGAAAACTAAAAATAAATTAATAAAAAATAATAAACTTAATTGAATTGAATTAAAAGGCAGTATTTATGTGCTTCAAAATGTCAGGTCTTTTAAATAGCTTCACCTCTTTGAAAAGTTATTTTTAAGATATTAGACTTGCTTTGGATGCACACTTACCAATAAAAGACTTCTTAGAAAAATTTAGAATGAATGGGCTGCCTTGTTAGTGAAGATCTCAATCACAGAACTGATATTTTAAGAGAAATCACTCCCTTCCTGTATTTGTCGAAAGGAAACTGGGCTTTAGGATTGATTGTAGGGTCTGGGAGGGACTTTAGAAATTTTTTCATCTAACTTTTTCATTTTACAGAGCGGTAAACTGAGGCCCATTTTGGGCCAAAGAGTGTGAATGGGCCAGTGCAGCCCTTCCCTAATAGTAGAAAGACATCCAACTTTACATCCTTTGACTAGGACCTCAGAGCATCTACCTGACAGATGGTGAGTAAAGGTCACCTTTGTACATGATGAATAGGAAGCATCTGAATGCAGAACAGAATGGGGGGGCCTTATGAATGAAAGAGGTTAAATGAGTTATACTGAGAAGCAGTAAAACTATAATAATTTACCCCTTTCAGACCTAGATAAATCCAACCAAAAATAAACAAGAAAAAATTAAAGGACCCTAATAGAATTTTGAAAAACTAGATAAAGTAACTAGCAGGGCTGTGGGAAAAACGGGAATGTTTATGCATTGTAGGTGGAGTTGTGAACTAATGCAGTTATTCTGGAGGGCAATTTGAAACTGCCAAAAATGTTATTCAACTGTGTGTACCCTCTGACCCAGCAGTGCCATTACTAAATCTATACCTCAAAGAGATCAAAGAAAGAGAAGAGGGATAAGAGCCTATACATAAAAAATATTTCTACCAGGGTTGAGTTTGTTGTAGCAGCAGCAGCAAAAAAAAAAAAATTAGAAAGTGAGGGGGTACCCATCAATTTTTATTGTTTAGTTGTGTCTGACTCTCTGTGACCCCATTTGGAGTTTTCTTGGCCAAGATACTGGAGTGTTTTTCCATTTTCTTCTCCAGCTCATTTTACAGATGAGGAAACTGAGGCAAACAGGGTTCAATGACTTGACCCAGGTCACATAGCTAGTAAGTGTATGAGGCCAGATTTGAACTCAAGTCTTCCTGGCTCCAGGTCAGGCACTCTATCCACTTTGCCACCTAGCTGTCCATCCATCAATTAGGGAATAGATAAATAAGTTATGGTTTATGAAAGTGAGAGAATACTATTGTTCTATAAGAAGTGATGAATGGTGTAGTTTCAGAGAAATCTAGGAAGACTTGTATGAACTGATACAAAATGAAATGAGTAGAACCAGGAGATCAATTTATATGATAACAACAATGACAAAAGACAGACAACTTTGAAAGACTTAGGAACTCTGATCAACACAATGACCAGATGCAATTCCAGAGGGCTCATAATGAAATGTGCTACCCACCTTCTGAAAGAGAGATGATGGACTCAGGCATATTTTGGGGGACATGGTCAATGGGGGGAAATGTTTTGCATGACTACCCATGTGGGTAACAGGGGTTTCATTTTTCTTTTTTTTCTCAATGGGGAAAAAGGGAGATGAGGGGGAAAGAAAGCAGATTTTTCAATGACTCAAAAAATAATTAAAAATAAAATTTATCCTTAAAAATTAAAAAAAAAGAATGAAAGGGAAAATTCTAAGAGAATTGCAGAATTGGAAGAACTTTTCACAAACCACTAGTCTAACCCATATGTAAACAAGAATCTTCATTACAATGTCCCTGAGGAGGGGCTTCACCAACACACACACACACACACACACACACACACACACACACACACACCACACACACACATACACACACACACATACACACTCATTTCACTCTAGGTCAATTTTTAGGATGTTTCCCCAACATCAAATTGGGATTAAATTTGCATTCCTGCCATTTAATATTATATGTTCAAAGGATAATTAATCTAAGAGGACAGATGAAGAGGAGAATCCTTATGAGGAAGGGGAAAACAAGGATCTTACAAGGAATTTCTTTTCTTTGATGACAGACTTATACTGGAAGTGAGGCAACTGGGTCAACCTGGTGGCCTCCTGAGCTTTGGCCCATCCAGTTCCAATGGCTTTCTTCACCTCCTCCTCATCGAAGCATCCATCACTGAAGTGGTACATTCCAGGTCCCAAATGGGTCTAAAAGTCAGAACAGGGTTACAATTGGCTCTCCAGGGTCCTACTCTACTTTACTTGAAAAAGGCAGAATTATAGACACATAGACCATCAGAGGTGAGAGGGCCCTTAGAACAGGAAATGTCAGAGCTGGGAGGGGCCTGAGAATTAAGAGGAACCTAGTGGAATGTTTAATTTTGAAGGGACCTTAGTGACCCTCTAGCAACTAAAGCAACCCATTTTTCAGGTGAAGGTATGCTCAAGGTCAGAGATAGGAAGTCTGGCAGGGCTGGGATTCCACTAAAAAGTGTCTTCTCTCCACCTTTCCCCCCAAAAAACTTTCTTCTACAATTCTCAGATGGGGGTGCAATTTACTGAGTTTAGGCTTAAAGTTCTAAGGCCCCTTCCAGCTCTGACATTTTCTGTTCTAAGGCCCCTCCCAGCTCTGACATTCCCTGTTCTAAGGCCCCTCCCAGCTCTGACATTCCCTGTTCTAAGCTCTTTCTCACCTCAAGCCTGGACTTGAATAGATTGTTGGTGGGTCTGCCTGCCTCCAGTCTCTCCCCTACCCCTATCCATTCTCTACTCAGCTGTCAAAGTGATCTTCCTAAAGGGCATGTCACTTCCCTACTCACTAAGCTGGAAGAGATAGAGAGTCCTCTGTTTGGCTTTTCAAGCACTCTTCATAGCCTGCTGCCTTCCTTCCTTTCCAGTCTTCTTCCACCTGATTGCCCTGTCCTGTGCTCCTGGAGTCCTGCCTCGCAGAGCCTGGTCCCCCTGGCTATTTGTCACCCTGGATACTCCTTTTCCCCATGGTGCGTTTTTGCTGCCCATCCCACATGCCTGGAATCCTGTCCTTCCTCAGGGCCACCTCCTGGCCTCCCAGGCAAAGTCCCACAGTCTGTAAAAAGCCTTTCTGTTGACCATCTCCACTCTGTCCTGTCTCAGTCTTGTTTGTCCGGAATGTCTCCAGGTCGTCTCTTCCATTCAACTGGGAGCTCCTCGAGAGCAAGGACTGCCCTTTGCCTTTCTTTGAATCCCCAGTGCTTAGCACAGTGCCTGGCACAGACTGGTCACTTGACTTGATTAGAACCACCCAATAAAAGAGCTTTTCAGGAAAATTTGTCAGGATGGTCTGGTAGGAAAATAGGGACTTGATTTGGAGAGAGTCCAGTGTTCCTTTTAGCTTTGGCTGTGCCCTCCCCCCACCTTGCCAAATTCAGCAGAGTTGCCAGACATCCCTGGGCATCCCCTGCCCACAATCCCCTTCTTCAGGCCTTGGTGCTGGGATGGCACTACTCACCCTGCTTGTCAGATAGTGTTTGGAGTACAACACCTGGGGGAAGGTGGGCGTTGGCTTCTTCGGCTGAGCAATTACTGCAGACACATCAAACCTAGCCGAGGAAGAAACAAAGTCTCTGGGTGAAATACTCCTGCCATGATGGACTTGCTGGGGGAAGCTTGGCAAGCCCTGCTGCCCTTTTCTGGGTCTCTGTGAAGTCAATAGCTTGGACTAAATCAGAGACTTTCAAGCTTTTTGATCTCCAAAACTTTTCATACTCTTAAAAATTATTAAAACAGCCTCCCCCACTCCCAAAGAGCTTTTCTTTACATGGGTTACAGCTATTGAAAGTTATATGAGAAATTAAAATGTCATAGGATTATTATGAAAATGGCTTTGACCTCATGGACCCCCTGGAATAGTCTTGGGGACTTTAGGGGTTCTCTGACCACACAGCAATGGGTAATCTCTAAGTTTCTTGTCCATCACAAGCACTCTGAGATTCTTACATTACCACCTATGTAGGAAGGGGAAAGAGGACACTGAAAATAAACTGAAATTATAGAATACTGGCATGAGAAGAGACCTCAGATGATGTCAGCTTCAACACCTACCTGATGCCTGAAAAAATCTCTGTTACAACACCACAGAGATGGGCACCCAGCCCCTTCTTGAATATCTCTAGTGATGGGGAACTGATCCTTTTGCAAAGGCATCCTACTCCATCTTTGGACAGCTCTGATTGTTAGAAATGCTTCCTCATATTGAGCCAGTATCTGCTTCCCTGTAATATCTTCCCATAGGTCCTAGTCCAGGTCTCCAGGGCCAGGCTGACTAAATCTCATCCTTTACCATCATCCTGGCCTTTCAGAGAAGTGAAGAGTTACAGGTCTGACATAAGAAGTATAGTGGCGGAGGGCATCAGGAATCCCCAGGAGACAACTGCAGGACAGAGAGGCAGAAAGGATACACACAGGGCCAGATGTCTCTCCACTCACGAACGGAATATGGTTAATGAAATGAGTTACAATTCAAGTCAACTTCTCAGCACCCACCGAGCACCTACTATGTGCAAAGCATTACACTAGCTACAGAAAATACGAAGAGAAAGACAAACCAATCCCTGACCTTGGGGTCACTTTACATCTTACTGGGAGAAGCGACATGAAAAGCCAGATGAGCAAATACAAGATAATTGAAAAGGGGAATCATTACTAGCAGCTGAGGGGATCCGGAGGCACTTCCAGGAAGAGGCGGCACCTGAATTCTTCCTTGATAGAAGCTCAGTAGTCTACCACGTGGAGGTGAGGAGGGAGTGCTTCTCCCTTTTCAGATAGAATTCTGAGTCTAGAGAGCAGCAAACAGTCTCAAACCCCCTTAAACAGAAGGTGAAATGTAGAGTCAGAAGAGTGATGAGAAATCCTGCTGGAAAGGTAGAGTGGTGCTAGATGGGTAGAGGGCTTGAAAGAGCAAGCCGAGGAGGAGACGGAAGAACACTTAAGATTTATGACCAGGGGGATGAGAAAGTCAGCCCGTTCATTTTGTAGCTTTGTGGCAGGTGGTTTGGAAAGGGGAGAGACTAGAAATCGGGAGATGTTGCAAAGAAAGAGATCTTATAAGAAGGGAAATCTAAACCAGCTAGGTGGTACAATGGGTAAAGTCCCTAGCCTGGAGTCAGGAAAATCTTGAGTTCAAATGAAGACTCTGATACTTACTAGCTGTATGACTTTGGGTAAGTCATTTTACTTCTCTCTGTCTCAGTTTTCTCATCTGTAGAATAGGGATAATGCCCATTAATGGGCACCTACCTCTCGGGGCTGTTGTGAGGATCAAATAAGACAATATTTGTAAAGTGCTTAGCAAAGTTCCTGGCACATAGTAGGCACTATATACGTTTTTATTAAAACCTTTGCAATCTGGCTTCTGACCTTAACTGAAACTGCTCTCTCCCAAGTCACCAAATCACTTAAATTTCAAATTTGTGGGTCTTTTTTTCTTCTTAAAAGAGTTATTTAATTTTGAAAAACGAACAAGCATTTATTCTCCCGCTGTCCCACTTCTTCCCCCTCCCAAAAAACCCCCAAACCTCTTTAAGTAATATTCGTAGTCACACACTAACTCGGGGTATCCCCCACCAGGGCCCTCTTCTCTTTTCTCTCTATATATTTTACTTGATGATGTCATCAGCAGCCATGGATTTAATTGTCATCTCTATTAACCCAGCTCTAACCTCTCTGCTGACCCCTGGTCTTACATCTCCAACTGCCTATTGGAAATCTCAAACTGGATGTCTTCTATAGACATCATAAACTCAACTTGTCCAAATTTGAATTCATGATCTTTCCCTCAAAACTCTTTTCCCTTCCAAACTTATTACTGTAGAGGGTAATACCATCTTCCCAGTCCTTTGGGCTCCCAACCTAGAGGTCATCCTGGACTCCCCACTATCTCCCATTACCTTCCACCCATCCATATCCAAGGTGTTGCCAAGGCCTGTTGATTTCACCTGTGCACCATCTCCCATTGATTTCACCTGTGCACCATCTCCCGTTGATTTCACCTGTGCACCATCTCCCGTTGATTTCAACTGTGCAACAACATCTCTTTGATTTCACTTGTACAACATTTCTCAGGAGACTCGTCTTCCTGAGTTCAAATCTGGCCTCAGACACTTCCTAGCTGTGACACTGGGCAAGTCACTTTACTTTGTTGGCCTCAGTTTCCTCCATTCCAATATCTTTGCCAACAAAACCCCAAATGGGGTCACAAAGAGTCAGACACAACTGAACAACAACTGGGTGCTAAGTTCAGGGATTCAAAGAGAGGAAAAAACAGTCCCTGCCCTCAAAGATCTCACATTTTAATGGCAGAGATAACATGCAAACAACTCTGTATAAACAGGGTATAAACAGGATATATACAGGAAAAATTGAGGTTAATCCCAGAAGGAAGGCACTAAGATTAAGGAGGGCTGGGAGAGGGATCTTGCAGAACATGGACGTTTAAATGAGATTTGAAGGAAGCCAGGGAAACAAGGAGATGGAGATGAGGAGGGGTGGAATTCCAGGCTTGGGCTGTCCCTGGAGCAGGGAGATGGAGTGTTTGGTGGGAGGAGCAGTCAGGAGCCCAGAGTCTTTAGATGTCAGAGTATGAAAAGGGTTAGGGCAGGTTCCAGGTCCCCCACCCTGGTAAGACAGGACTAGGTTATGAAGGGGCTTGAATGACAAACATTTTCTATTTGATCCTGTAAGTGATAGGGAGTCAGTGGGGGTTTATTGAATAGGGAACGGAGGTGGTCAGACTTACATCTGGGTAGCCAAAAGACTAGGCATGAGGTGATGAGCCTGATCCAGTGTGGAGGCAGTGTCAAAGGAAAGAAGTCCCCCCCCCACGCACATCCATACCCACTCACAAATGAGTTTATGTTTGTATTTTGTACATATCTGATACATCCTCATATGCGCACAGATCTGTGTGTCCCCTAGCCCATGTAAGCTCCTGGAGGGCAGAAACAGTTGCATTGCGTCTTTGGACCCCCAGGACCCAACACATAGTAGGTATTTAATAAATGTTTGTTGATATGAATGAGGATGGTAAAGCAGGTATGGAAGTGAGAACAGGCAAAAGCTAAATCCTGCCGTTCTAGGCTTCGCTGGGAGAGGGGCTCCCTCCCACTCGCGGGAGGCTGCCCAGTTCAGAGGTGGGGTCTGCTAGCTGGGAAGCATCCGAGAGCCCCCCAGCCTAAGGGAATGGAGGTAGGGAAATTAAAGGCTCCAAAGAGGGCGGGAAGGAGAGGCCAAAGAAGTCGAATCTGGATCTGGAAAGGATCGTCCATTATTAGGGTTCATTTCTTGGCTTCACTAGGGCTGCAAACTGAGGCCAGGGAGGGGCGGGGCAGTACTGACTCAAGGTCACGAAGGTGAGAAGTAGCAGAGCCGGAATCCCAGCGAGATTCTCTCCTCCAAATCCAGCGCTGTCCACAGTGTTTCCTTACTTAGGGCTTGAGGCCAGCTCTTAGGGAAGGGCATTTAGAAATCATGGAATCTAACTCCTTCGAGTTACAATGAAGGAAACTGAGGCCAAGAAGGAGAAAGGACTGGCCCAAGGTAACACAGCAAGTCGGTGGTATTGGCTGGATTTGAACCCAGGGCCGAGGATCGCTTGGGGAAAATAAGGGGTAGGAAAGAGGAGCTGCCGCCCAGCCCCCGCCCCTCTGGAGGAAGACCATAGTCCCCCGGACTCCCCAACCTCACCTTGCTGACTGCACCCCGAAGGGCGCTCCAGTAAAAAGCTTTGTCGTAGCCATGGCTCAAGGTCCGGAGAAACGTTTCCGAACTGTGCAGGGGGTTCCCTGGATCCACTGTAAGCTTTCTAGAACTCGGGCCGGGGGGCACCCTAGCCTAGGGGCTCGCCCCGCCCCCCGAGCTGCCAGGCAACGCCCTCGAAGCGCTTGTGACCTGGAGTTGCGGGTTGGGAGGGGCGGGGAGGAGGCAGTGAGAAGAAAGGAAAAAGGAAGAGAAGGAAGGGAAGAAGGGGAGAGAAAGAAAGAGGCTGTGTGGAAGTGCAGAAAAGAGGAGGGGAAGGAAGGAGAAGGGGAAAGAGAAAGAATGAGGAGGGGAATGAGGGGCAGGGAAGGATGGGGAAATAGAAAGGAGGGGGAGGAGGGAGAGGCAGGTCAGAAAGGAGGTGGGATAGAGAAGGGAAGAGGGAGAAAGAGAGGGGCAAGCAAGGGAGAAGGGGAGTCATAGATGGGAGGAAGGTGAAGAAGGGAGGGAAAAAGTAGAGGGAAAATGGATAGGGGCAAAGAAGGGAAGAGAGGGATGAAGGAGGAGAGTGGGGAAAGGAGGTGAGGAAGAAGGAGGGGGGAGAGAGTGAGAATGAGGGAGAATGAGAAGAGGGAAAAACAGGAAGAAGAGTCCATCTCCACTCCTCTGGCTTCCTTTGTCCCCATACCTAGACTTAACCCTATCATCTGTGCTGTCCCTCCTCCATAACTCCTTATCCATCCCATTTCTCACTCCATAACTTGAAAATGCCCAACCTCCACTTGCCTACTGCCAGTGGTCTGGACCATCGTACTCTTCTCCACACCCCACCTCCTCCCTTCAGCATCTGTTCTAAACCTTTGCCCCTTTCCTCAAGCTTCTAGCTTCAAATACAGATGGCTCTGCCTCTTTTCCTCAAGAAGCCTGAGGCCGTCACACAGGAGCATGCATAGCCCCTCTTCCATTCAGATCTCAGCATCATCGGTCTCTTTCTCCTCTTTCCTCTACTTTTCCTTCCAGAGGAACATGTATCCCTGCATCTCACTAGCACTAATCTCTCTCCTTGTTCTGTTTCCTATGATCTCCTGGACTTTGGCTTGGCAATCCATCCTTCATTATTCTTTCTCCATTATCTTCTTCCTCTCTGCTGACAAACATTCTCAAGTATCCCCAATCCTAAAAGAACCATCCCTGGACTTTCATTTCTAGAAGGGGGGGCACCAGATGTGTGATTTCATCACCAAAGGGGACTCCCATTGAGAAAGCTTCCTCAACTAGCTAGGTGGCTCAAGCTAGGGCTGGGAGTCAGGAAGATCTGAGTTCAAATCTAGCCTCAGACACTTAGTAGCTATGTGACTCTGGGCAAGTCACTTAACCTGTCTGCCTTAGTTTCAACTGTAAAATGGGAATGATAATAGTTGTGAAGATGTGATGAGTTATTTGTAAAGCACTTAGCACATAGTAGGTGCTTAGTAAATGCATTTCATTCTCCTTTCCACCAAAACAACTGCTGTGAAACATAAAATCTTAGATAATTACCTAGTGCACTGACAGATGATATGACCCAGGGTCACACAATCAGTAGGTGACAGAGGCAGTACCTGAACTCAGGTTTTCCTGAGGGAGGAAATAATGCTGATACCGGCCCTCTCTTCACTGCACCAGGGCTCCCTCTTCCTTCTCTCTTCAGTTCCAACCAGCTATTCTCCCATATCTCTCTTCACTCCTAATCTTCTTGAAAAAGTTGCCCAAGGGGCAGCTAGGTTGCCTGGTGGGTACAGCACCAGCTTTGGCATCAGGAGGATCTGAGTTTGAATCCGGTTTCTGACATTTACTATCTGTGTGACCCTGGGCAAGTCACTTAACTTTGATTGCCTCCCCCCAAAAAAGAAAAAGTTGTGTGTGTGTGTGTATACATATGCATATATATACATACATATGTATGTATGTATATATATGTCTCTACTTTCTTGGTTTTTTTTTTTTGCTTGGCAATGGGGTTAAGTGACTTGCCCAGGGTCACACAGCTAGTAAGTGTTATGTGTCTGAGGCCAGCTTTGAACTCAGGTCCTTCTGAATTCAGGGCCGGTGCTCTATCCACTGTGCCACCTGGCTGCCCCTCTACTTTCTTAACATCTGCTCCTTGACTTCTTGCTATCTGGTTCTAAACCCTATCACTCTATGGAAACCTTCACTAAGGTCGCCAGTGTCCTTTCAATTGGCACATCCATTGATTGTCTCTCAGACCTCATCATCCTCTGTTCAGGTTTTCGTACTTGGTTGCCCCCTTCCGGATACTGTTGTCTCTCTTGGGTTGGGGGCGGGGGAGGTGAGAGAACAGAATCACTGTTGTTTTTCCTCTGCCTTTGTAATACTTGGTTTTTCTAGAACCTTGACATTTACAGAACCTCCCTTTTCTTAATTGACTTCGTGCAAGTGACTGTTCCCCATCCTTGTGTTAAAAGGGAAACTACTTGTTTGGGTTTTCAGCCTGATTAACAAGGTAAAACTCAGGCAAAAGAGAAGAAAAAGAAGTTTATTAAAAAATACATCAAGGTAGCACCATGTTGCTAGGTAGATCAGTGGAGATCAGCATGGGATTCAAATTGGAGACAGCTTTTATTGGTAGCTTTTTTTTTTGGTGAGGCAGTTGGGGTTAAGTGACTTGACCACTCACACAGCTAGTGAGTGTCATGTGCCCCAACACTGATTGACCAGCAGGACTGGGAACGATTTGGTCACTGAGTCAGCAAAACTTTCAATCCTTAGTCCTCTCTTCTCTGTACACTCTCTGTCTTTACCTTCTCATTCATCCCCCATAGCATTCATTATCACCCCAATGCAGATAAGTCTAGCACTGACCTCTCTCCTTAACTCCAGCACATAGGACAGCTCAACCTGTGTTGAGGGCCGATCTTAAGAGTCTGATAAGGGTTTAAGATCCAAGGCAGAGTTTGACCTCTGCCCAGGCTTTTACCCAAAAGGGCTCGCTGATTAAGTGGTACGGCTCCCCAATTCCTTCCTAATTTAGAGGTCTCTGAGACATTCCTTCTCTCTCTTTGAACCTTAGATTTACATATTCACTCCTCTATGCAGGTGGCACCAAGGCGCCTGGGAAAACCTTGGAATCTACAGCCCAATCTAGGAACCTTGATAAGGAGGAAATTCATGATTGTCACATCCTCAGCAGATGTTCTGGGGGAGTATCTCATGGGGAGGACTCTTTGAAGTTAGGCTAGATCTTCCCTATATATTCTGTGCCCTCAGATGAATAAACTGAGTCAGTAATTCTACTCCGCCTGGCCCATGTCATAAGTTATTTCACTCCTCTCCGTTCGGTGTACAATCTGGTTGCGGGCGACAAACCTGGATGTCCTTCTAGCTCCAAACTCAAAGGGTTCCAAATAGAGCTCTCTGCCCTCCGTCTACCAAAATAAAACAGCATACGGGTAGAATGGAATGGAGCGAAGGAGGGAAATAGGAGGAGGAAAGGAGGGAAGAGAGCAGAGGAATGAAAGGAAGGGAAGATGGGGAAAGGAGGTAGGCTAGAATGGGAGCTTCAGCTTGGATAAATAGAGGCAGTGGTTGTAACGAGCGCCATGTTTGAAGTAGCTTGGTGCTTCCTCTTAGCCGGCTAAAATTGTCTCAGCTTGTCCCATTCTTGTCCTCTGCGTCTGCAGATCACCTTCCCTCTCCCCACACAAAGCCATCCATCATAGGAGCTGGGGTGAGGTGGAGAAAGCATGAGGCTGGGAGTCAAGACCAGGGCTCTAGACCTAGCTCTGCCTCTAACTCTTGTATCCAATCCAATTCAACTGAACTATGTAACCTCACAGGAACCAGATTGCCCAACTGTCCCGTAATCTTCTGTGGGCATGAATAGCACTCAGGAAAGATTTTTGCCTCATGGGGTGTCAGAGCTAGCAGAAGAATGAGATCCCAAAGAGCTAAATGTAAAGTCTTTCCCTCTGCCCCTCCCCTACCATGTCGGCATGACTGCCAGATCTCCATGACAGGCTACCTGTGTGCCTCAGGGTAAGTCACTGCCTCCTCCAAGCCTCATCTGTCGAGTGAGAATAATCATGTTTGCACTACCTGTCTCCCAGAGGCGAGCCTTTGTAAACCATATAGCTCTAGAGAAGGAGAAATTACTGGGGCAACTAGGTGTTTTTATAAGTAGAGCTCTAGGCCTGGAACCCGAAAGATCTGAGTTCAAATCCAGCCTCAGATACTTACTAGCTGTGTAACCCTAAGTAAGTCACTTAACCCCTGCTTGCCTCAGTTTCCTCATCTGTATAATGGGGATAATAGCACTGACCACACCGAGTTGTTGTGAGAATCAAATGAGATAATAATCGTAAAGTCATTAGCACATGATGAGCACTATATAAATGTTAGCTATTATGATTATTTTTAAGGATGAGTTTGGGGGCAGGGTAGGATGTGTTAGGCCCAACTCTTACTTCGTAGACTAAGAAGGCTAAAAATCTGTCCCAGTGCCTAATTTCCATGAATATTGTATGTTGAGGACTGGGAGAGAAGAGGATATTGTATTAAAAATCAATTAACCAGCCAGTATTTATCTCTAAGATGAGAACGTTGCACTCAGTGGCCTTCTAAAGCCACTTTCAGCTTTCAGTCTGGAGCCTCTCACCAGGCAGCACCTGGTGGCTTTATCATTCATTGGAAGACAAGCCATACCCTTCCCCCACCTCATCTCCACACTTGAAAACTGTATAACCTGAGTAAGTGATATCCACCCCAGACCTCAGTATCCTTATCTGTAAGATGAAAAGGGCTGGACAAGTTGGCCTCGGGGGTCTCTTCCAACTCTAAATCAGTGTCTTCTGCCTGTGATCCTAATGTGTGCCAGGCACTGTGATGAGCATGTGAAAATGGACATGCAACTACTGTGATTTGCTGGAGCCCCCCAATTATCCAGGTAACCGAAAAGAGCTCTATGCAGAGTGACCCCATTAGCTAAGACACAGAGTGGCTTGACATACCAACAATCCTTTGTGGTGACCAAGTGTAAACCCAGCTGGACATGCAGAAAATCAGCAACTCTGAAGCCAATTAAATTCCTACCAGCTTTGTAGCAGCCCCTGAGCCTTCTGGTGGTTTATGGACCTTTGAGAGACATCCTCATCTTCAAAGACTCCCCTAACTGTTGGTTATGGGGCTCTGGGACACATCTTGTTTTTTGGTTTTTGGAGACATCTTCCTATCTTATTGTTTGTACTCAAGCTTCAAACTGCCAGGCCTGCTTACCACCAAGAATGCCTTCTGATTTGTGTGTCAAAGGTCCACAGCTCTGACACCTGGAATCCCTCACTTCCCCTTGTTTCCTGGGTCTCCCCCTCCCCTTGGGAATGGGACTCCCTGACTCATTCCTTTCTAGGACCTGCCTGATTCCCTGCATTCCTTTGTTTGAAAAGTATAAATATCTCACTCTTGCCAGCTGGGCTTTGAACAGATGTGGACCCTGCCTCATTGTTCCAGCTTGAAAGCTCCTTCTCAGGCAATAAATGCATTTATAATCTGTGTATACTCTGATCAGGCTCATTCCAGACCTCCTTGGACCTGGGATTCTTCCATTTTAACAGTTCACAGAGGTTTTTAATTTAACAGGCACCAGAGATAGAGACAAAAATGAATCAATCCTTGTCCTCAGGAAGCTTACATTTATTAAAAAAAAAAAAACAACATACGCACATATGAGGAGATACAGAATACAGGGTATCCCCAAAGTCTTAATGCAGTTTTAGTCTGTTGAAGCATACAATTAATACAATAAGCAAAACAAGGAAATCAGAGGAGGGATGGATCAGGAGGTGGCCTCCTGACAGGAGTTTGTTGGTGGACTAAAGCAAGCTCATTATCGCCCCCTCTTGGTGGTCCACGCTGGCTGGGAAGACTCTTGTCCTAACAAGGTAGCAGGTTTCATCTGCTTTATCCTCCTTCTTTTTCCTTTTTCATTTTCTAAAGTGCCCATTCGGGGTGTGTGTGTGCCGAAACAGACTCCCTTCTCCTCGACAGAGTCATTTCTGTCTCAGGACGGGCTTTCCAGCCTGCCAGCTGTCTCCCTTTTGGATTATTTATCAGGGGCTCCCTGCACCCCAGCCCCTCATATGGATCCCACAGGTTTCTGAATCTGGGCCACTTGCAGTGCTCAATGGTCTAAGAGGCCCAGGGAGGCAAGAGGGGACCACAGGGGAGCAGAGACTGGACAACAATCACCACAGGAAATGATCCCCATAGAGTCCGTAAGGGCCGCAAAGCACTCTGCATTCCACTGGAAGCCTTTCCCTCTCTCCCTTTAAAGCCCATGCCTCAGTTTCTCCTTGTAGTCCTTACCGTCTTCTCCTCACGTCTTCTCTGTGCCCAGCTGTTTTCATGTCATCTCCCCCAGAGACTGTGAGCTCCTTAAGGGCAGGGATTGTTTGTGCCATTCTTTTTATTCCCAGTGCTTAGCACAGTGCCTAGCACATAGTATGCACTCAATAAATGCCTGTTGGTTTGACTTGACTGTATCAATTATCTCATTAAAGCACCTTAGAGATCATCTAGTTTAACTCCATCACTTTACAGAAGAGGAGACGAGGTCCAGGGAAGGGACTTGTCCAAGGTCACACAGGTGGTCAGTGGCAGAGATCTTCAGCATAGCCAATCAGTAGAAGCGTCCTCCTGGACAGCACTTCACTAAGGGCTCCAGAGTTGGAGGAGAGCCCCTGAGGGGGCACTCAGAGATGCCCCCAGAAGGATGCTACCATGCTGGGACTGGGAGTCATTCAGTTATAACTAATTTGGAGGAAACCAGAAGATGGAGCCCACCTTCAGCTCCAGACAGTGAAGCTGAGAGCTACCCATTGGGAGTACCTTCTTTCCCTCACACCCTGGCTGCTCTCCTGGAACCTTAGAAGCCATAAAAGCCAATCCCCTCACTTTACAGATAAATAAACTGAGGCAAACAGGGTTAAGTGACTTGCCCAGGGTCACACAACTAGTAAGTGTCTGAAGTTGGATTTGAACTCAGAAAGATGAGTCTTCCTGCCTCCAGACCCAGAGCTCTAGCTGCTACCTGGGATTACACAGCTATTTGTGTCTGAGACAGGATATGAACCCAGGTCTTCCTGATTTCAAGTCTAGGAACTCACTAAATCTTAAAGCAGCCCAGGCCATTTTGGGAAAGCTCTTGTTTTCAGGAAGTTAGGCTATAATATCACCTGCAGGATCAAATATAATATCCCTTATTTGGCGTTCAATGACTTTGTAACCTGGCCTCTTTCTACCTTTCCAGTCTTCTTACTCTTTATTCTCTTCCAATATTTTACAATCTGGCTACACTGGCTTCTAGATGTTCCTCAAACAACCATCTCCCACCTCCATGCTTTTGTGTGTCTGTCTGTCCCCCAGGCCTGGCATGTTCTACCTCCTCTTCTCCTTGTCCTCACTTCCCTTTCAAGCCTCAGCTCAGTCCCACCTTCTGTGACAAGCTTTGTCTCATGGGCCCTCCCAGGCTGCTACAGTCCCTCCTCAGCTATGATCTCCCGTTTCCTCTGTGCATGCCTGGTTTTCATATTGCCTCCTCCATTAGACTGTGAGCTCCTGGAGGGCAGGGCCTGATTTTTGCTTTCCCTTGCATCTTCAGTGCTGAGCACTGCACCCGGCCCCTAGTAAGTGCATAATAAATGCTTGTTAATTCCGAGTGGGAAAGGTAGCAATGACTTTTCCTGGAGCATAAGTGCTCGTGTTTGGGAAGTATTGTTAACTCACTGTTGCTGACGTTCCAGAAGGCTGATAAGAGGATGCCAGGGTGCAAAGGCAGGGAAGAGTTTCCATGCTGGGGGTACCATGGAAGGAAGATGGGGTTTGGCCAGAGGAGTCCAAAACCAAGGGCAGCATCAGTATAGCCAGCACCAGATTAAAATGCAATTGAGAAATATTTTTAAAACAAATAAAAATACAGTAAAACGTAGATAACATATTTTCACCCTGTCAATCTGCAGTGGCAAGGATGTTTATGTATAGAGTAGTGGTCCATGTTTTCATTTGAAGTTGACACCACTGCCCTCCAGTCATGAGGATCTGGGTTCAAAACCTGCTCAGACAATTACAAGCTGTGTGGCCCCAGGATAGTGGCCTAACTGCTCTGTGCCTCACTTTCCCCATCTGTAAAATGAGATAGTCTGACTTTATGGCCTCTAAGGTCCTTTCTCAGCTCTAGATCTCTGATCTTATGATCAGCCTCACATGCCTCACAGACAAAGCTCTGACTTGGGTAGGTAGAGACACACCCCTCTTAATTGGAGCAATCATCCATAAGATGGTCGAAAGAGAAAAAAAGCTTCCCGGTCCCTCTCTCTCAGAACAATCAGACTTCTTTGGCTGTGAATATCTATATCTGGGACCCACCAAAAGTTATCCCATGGGCACCGACCACCATTATTGTACTCAGTTTACAGAGGAGAAAACTAGATCTCAGAGAGGCCAAGTGATGTCAGAGCCAAGAGATGAAGCCAGCCCTTTGACCCTTAGTCTCATGCACCTGGCAGTCATCAAATAAATAAATAAACAAAGGAACAAATGAATGACCACACAAACAAATAAATAAATAAATAGAATTTCGGATTCTCAAACCAGTGTTCTTCCCAGCATCCCATTGTCCCCTCCCCCTCTTCCTTATTCCTGGAAGCCAGTTCTATCTTCAGGTAACCTAAGATTCCATTAGGTTTTTTGGTCCTGCAGTCCGCTAAGACCCTTGGACCTCTTCAAGGTGTACTGCTGTCTAGCTACTCTCCTACATATTCTGCTGCCTAGCTGTGTCCTTATGAAGTGGATTTCTTTTTTTTTTTTAGCACAAGTGTAAGACTTTGATTTATCCCTATGAAATCTACCACACTCTTCTGACAAAAGAGGAAACTGAGGCCCGAGAGGAAAAAGGGCTTGCCGAAGGTCATACACTGTTAGTGGTAAGAGCAGGACTGGACTCCTGTTTACCCAACAGCCCAGCCAGTGGTCTTTCTGCTCCCTTCAGCTGTCTCCCCATCACGCCTCTCTTTCACAACACATCTGGCTTGGCAGGGGTGGTTTTAACAGTTTGTCAGAACAAAAATTGAAACATGTCTCCTAGCTGTTCAGCCACACCTTCTGCCACCTTGGGAATTACTCCGGGAGGGTGTTGTGGGTGGAGGACAGGGAGGGGAGCCAGTGAGCCAGCAATCAGCTAATCGTCTTTGGCCTGGATATTTTCCCACCCACCAGACTAGGACTGGGGCTCATGTCGTGAGTCTGCTAGTTCCTACTGTGTGACCTTGGGAGAGTGATTTCCTCCTCTGGGCTCATGTAGAATGAGGGCATTAGGTCAGGGGTGGGGAGCCTGCAGCCTCGAGGCCACACATGGCCCTCTAGGTCCTCAAGTTCGTCCCTTAATAAACAAATCCCCTTAATAAAAGGATAATAAGAGGATTAGAGGGCCCTAGATGATTAGCAAGCCCACCCTTGGCTCTGAGGCCCCTCAGAGCTCTGAATCTCTCTGGCTCTGGCAGCTGCCCAGCACCCACTGACCTTTACATTGCATTTCCTCTAGGGAGGCCTCTCCCTGACAGGCTCCTCCCCAGACTTTGACAAACCTGAAGAGCCAGGTAGCAGGGCTTGGCCCTCAGGTGGAGGAGAAGAGGTTGCTCCCTGCTGGAGCTGCAGCAACATAGGAGCGTGGGATCAAAGGCTGCAAGGACCCTTAGAAATTGTCTCCTCCAGCCCCCTCATTTTACAGATGGAGACGTGAGCCCAGAGAAGGTCCCACAGCTAGGAAGCAGCAGGGCTGGGAGCCTCTTTCTCCAGATGGAGCACTTGCCTCCTGACACCATGCTCCAGATCCTCCCCGATGCTGGGGCTCTGCCCCTGGGAGATGCAGCTGGGGAGATGCCTGAGGAGGACATCGAAGCCCTCATGGAGGAGATGGATTACCTCCCTGGCCACTTTCACCTGGACCTGAACCTGAACTTTGAGCCGGGCTCCCGAGCCCCCTTCCGAGGCCGGGATATGAAGCTGCAGCGAGAGAGCCTTCGGACAGAGCTAGAGTTTGAGACTGGGCCCCTGCAGTATGCAGTACGGAACCTCCTGGGTGTCTTCACCTTCTACTTGGACGAGCTGGAGCAGGCCCGGGAGCTCTTCCTGCAGGTGACCCAGGAGGCACCGGACAACCTGAATGCCTGGGCCAACCTGGCTTATGTCTACGACCAGCTGGGCCTGGAGCAGGAGGGGGCCCAGTGCATGGAGACATTGTCCAGCCTCATGGGCCTGGAGGCCGAGGAGGAAAGGATGGCCAGTGGAGACCTCAAGCTCCGGGCAGCCCGGTGCCTGGCTGAGCAGGGCTATGCCTCGGCCTTCGACGTGGGCTTCGTGAGCGAGAGTGACCAGGTCCAGAAGCTGGCTGCCGGCATCGCCCTCTACGACAAAGGCCTGGTGTATGGACAGAAGAAGGTCAGTGACCCACCCCAGACCCTTTCAGGGGTGCTTTGGTCCTCTGGGGGACTTGGAGGGATGATGGGATAAAGGCATGGGTTTGGGAGGCTGAGGAAAGATGGAACCAGTGTTCCAGGAGGCAGACAACAAGCATTCATTAAGCACCGACTGTATGGACTTAGCCACTCATTCATTTATCATCCAGCACACATAGATTCCTAAGACAACAAAGCTGAGAGAGATCGTCTGAGCTAGAGCTTCATAGACTGTCAGAGCTGGAAGGGACCTTGAACGTAGAAGGTTTGAGCTAGGAGGGATCTCGCAGGACATCTAGCCTAACTTTCCACCCACGTTAAGAGTCCCATACAGTTCATCTTTCACCAGTGATCGTCCAGACATTGCATAAAGGTGTCCGGGGGGAGGAGGGGATAGTCAGCCAATCGGTCAGAAAGCATTTATTAATCACTTACTGTGTGCCTGGCACACACGGAGGGTGCAATGAAAGACAAGTGCAGGGCCAGCTAGGTGGTGCAGTGGATAGAGCACCGGCCTTGGATTCAGGAGGACCTGAGTTCAAATCTGGACTCATAAAAAAAAAAAAGAAAGACAAGTACAGTCCTTGCCCCTAAGAAGCTGAGGTGCTTTTGGGCTGTTACAAGGTCTAGACAGAGTAAAGGGCGGGAACCTCAGTTCCTCCATCCTCACGTTTATCAGGTCACATCTGGATGGTTGTTCCTGATTCTGGGTGCCCGATTTTAGGAAGGAGTTTGACAAGCTAGAGGACAATCAGGACGATCAGAGGATGGGAGGACATGTCTTACAGTCATCTGTCTGTTGAAGGAACCGGGCCCATCTAGCCTGGAGAAGGAAGGACTCTGGAGCCCATGGTAGCTGCCTTCAGGTTTGTGGAGGAGAGACGGGACGTGCTCTTCTTGTCCACAAAAGGCAAACCCAGGAGCCGTGGGGGGAAGTTGCAGAGAAGCAGATGTAGTCTGTATGGCTGTCCCAAAGAGACTTGGGCTACCTCGGAAGACAGTGAGTTCCCCGTCCCTGAGGGTCTCCAAGCCAAAGCTGGGCTGTTAGTCCTCTCCACACGCTCTGCAATCCAGTGACACTGGCCTCCTTGCTATTTCAGATAAGATGCTCCATCTGCGTCTGGAGCCAGGCATTTTCACAGTCAGATAACACAATAACAGTAACAACTAAAACGCATGTAGCCTTTTAAAGTTGATGAAACATTTTGTACTTCTTCATTTATTGTCCTTCCTCTTCCCTGTTAGTGCCTTTCCTCTGAGGTTATTTGCCATTTACTTACATAAGATAGAAAAAGGACCACATATGTTTTTATTGTAATGTGTATTTTTAATTAAATTTAAATATTTAATTTATATTTTTTGTTGTCGTAGTAGTTGCACGTTGTCTTCCATGTTAGATGGTGAGCTCCTTGAAGGTAGGGACCATTGTTTTCCTCTTTCGTTGTATCCACAGTACTTAGTACTCTGCCTGACACATATAGGAGCTTAATAAATGCTTGCTGACTTGATGAGTTGATTCTTAAACAGGGTCAGGGCTGGAAGAGATTGTATGATGTCCCTTCCAGTTCTGAGATGCTTGGGTTCTGCTGGGGGATACATTTTGTCCCTGAGGCTGAGATGTCTTGGGTAAAATGATTAACTGTTGAGAAAGGAAGGCAGATGCATTCTGTAAATGTGAAATACACTATTTCTAGATCATATAGAACACAGGACCTTCGGTGGCTCCCCACTGCCATCCCCCCCCCAAGTCCAAACTCTTGAGCCTAGAATCCAAAGCCACCCCACGGTCTGGCCCCAGCCAACCTTGCCAGCCTTATATGCCACTATTCCCCTTCATGAGTTGTAAACTGCAGCCCAGTTGGGATGACCATTGCCCCTTTAGACAGCCTATGGTCTGCTCCCTGCATGGCACTCATGCATTCCCTCCCCCATGAATGGCTTCCTCTTATCTCTGCCTGGTGAAGTGTTTCCCATATCTCAAGGCTCAGTCTGGGTACCTCCTTTTCTGGGAAGCCTGCCTCGATTCCCCCTAGCCAACAGTGATTTCCTTCCTCCTCAGAAGCCCCACAGTCCTTTGCCTGTGCCTCTCTATCACTCATTTTCAGCAGATTTCCATGGATTGCAGGAAAATCTTTGCTCATCATACCTCCCTGACCAGACCGTAAAGTCCTAAAGGTCTAGGGTCCTGGCACATTTTTCTTTGTATCTCCCCTGCTCTGAACATAGGGCCTTGAACATGGAAGTGGTCTAAGACGTATTGGTGGAAATAAATGTACTATGTCCTGTTTTAGCTATAGAGACTGAACCTGTGATTTCCCTAGAATAGGGCACTCCCATATGAGGAAAGGCCCTCTGCGGAAGCAGGCTGGCACCTTCTCTGAAGTGTATGGTGTTAGAGAATTGCCCGGAGCCTTGGAAAGCAAAGTGATTTGTTCACAGTCACATATACACAGTTTTGCTGACTCAGAAGCCAGCTTCCCATCCACGGTTCCAAGCTGCCTTTTCATTCTGGGTTCTAACCAGGCTATGGACCCAGCCAGCACCGTACTGGGAACATAATAACACTTAGTAATGCCTGCTGCTGCTTGTCAGCTCTAACACCTTGCGAGTCTTCTTTATAAATATTAAACAGTATAGAAAGGTGACCACGCCTATGTACTCTGAAGTCCTCTCCTCAGCCCTCGGGTCACACTCTCCCTGGATCAGAATGGCAGGGCTGAAGCTGGACTTTCGGAGGTCACGCAGTCCAACATCTCCCTGTTTACAGATGAGCAAACAAGCCCGTGGCTGAGGGACATTCAGACAGTCAATCGAGCATTTAGTGAGTGCGTACTATGTTCTTACACACACACACACCCACACACACACACACACACACACATCAGTTTCAGGGGAGGGATGACCAGGGTAGGCTGCCTAGAGGAGGTGAGGAACAGGGACCACTTTGGAGGTCCAATCATTGGATTTTCTAGAAGCTGCTCAGTACAGACCTCACATTGGCGGGGAATGGGGAGGACAGAGATAGTGGAGAAACCTGTTTGCAGTGGGCCCCAGGAAGATACTGGGGAAATGGACTGAGAACAGCTTAGTGGGGTGTGTTGCCTTGGGGCCCTGAGGGAGGCTGACTCAGGCTGGGTGGAACCTCCAGGAACATCTCTCCAAGCTCCCTGTCCTTTCTCTGGCCTCCTCAGAAGACCTGGGTCTGAGCCCTAGCTCTGACACTCACTGACAAAGCCCTCAAAGCTCTCTGGGCCTCAGCTTCCTTGTCTGTAAAATGGGCTATAACAATAATAAAGGCCATGGGGATATTTCAGGGAAACCTCTCTTCAAACAGCAAAGGACATTGAAAAGTGAATCATAATTTCAGCTATCTCCATCATGGTTCATAAGGGGCCATGGTAGGAGAGGAGGGAAGAGGGAACCCCTTGACATTAGTGTGCTTGCCTCTGGCCCCAAGGGATGTTACTGTTCATGCACATTCATTCATTCATTCATTCATTCATTCATTCATTCATTCATTCATTCACTCCTAACATAAATTAAGACGTTCAAAACCTCCTTCTATTGCCACTAGCATCCAATACAAATTCCACTCCTTGGCATTTCTCACAGTCTCGTTGAAGAAATAAGACATGAACAGGGTGACTCATCCCTTACTGAGTATATTATATCTTATGAATTGTTTGAGACCAAGAAAGGTTCCATGATTTGTCCACGGTCACAAGATTAGTGCCTATTAGAGGTGGGATTTGAACTGAGATCTTCCTTCTGCTCTAAGTATGGTGCCCTAGCTACACCTGGCTTCCTCTTGAAATGGACCTAAGGAGCTTATGTAGAAAGTAGACTGTTGGAAGGACATACAAAGAGATGCAAACAGTGCTCCAGAGGCTCAGAGAAGCATGAGGATGAGGATGATGATGATGATGATGACATCTAACATTTTTGTGATCCTTTACAATTTGCAAAGCACATTACAAATATTATTTCATTTGATCCTTATAAAAATCCTGAGAAGTAGGTGCTATCATAATCCCATTTTATAGTTGAGGAAACTGAGGCAAAATAAAGTTAAGTGACTTTTCTAGAGTCACACAGCTATTGTTTGAGGCTGGATTTGAACTCAGGCTTTTCAGACTCTAGGTCCAGGGCTTTATCCACTGCACCACCCTGCTGACCCAAGAAAGGAAGGAGAGAGCCTCTCTGGCTAGGGGGATAGACAGGGAAAGTTTTGTATGGGAGATGGCACCCAAGCTAGACCTTGAAGGAAGAGGGGGAGGATTTCCACAGAAATGAGGGATGAGAGTTAGGCACTCTGGCTGTGGGACTAGTGTATGCAAAGGCATGGAGGTAGAACAATATGAGCTATCTTCAGAAGGAAATGAGTCATCCAGTCTAGAAACCAAGAATGACTGTAAGGAGCAGTGAGAGATAAAGCTGAAAGGGGGGGTTGAGGGCAAATGACCAGATGTGAGGCTAAGGAATGTGAACTTCACCCTGGAAACAGTGAGGACTTCTGAGAAAGGCAGACTATGAATTGGGAAAATGAATCGGGTCGCCTTGCAGGGCGGGTTAGAGAGGGGAGCGAGAAGGAGACTAGAAAGGGGAGTAGTACCTAGTCTACTGAAGGGTGAGAAGGGCCTGAACAGGTGATGTACAGCGAGTCAATGGTGCCTACAATCCATCAGTCCTGGCAACCGATCAGATGTGGGGGAAAGGGAGGGGGAGGGAAGAATCGAGGATGACTCTTAGGAGGTAAAAGTAGGGTGTGTGTTTGGACGCCTTCTCCAGTCGGGTGTTGTTCCTTTCTCTTCCTTTCCCTCTCTCCTCCTACCCTTCTGTTTCTTCCTTTTCAGTAAACATGACAGGTGACCTGGCATAGAGGCTAGAAAGTTGGCCTCGGATCCAGGAAGACCTGGGTTCAAGTCCTGACTCTGACACTTGTCTGTTGGCTAGGTGACCCTAGGCAAGTGTCTTAACCTCTCA